AAAACGGCAAGCGGAGAAACGGCGCACGGAGGTTGAGCTAGCACTAAACCAAGTACCCCAGAAGCTTCCAAAATCCTTTCTCTAGAACAGCTGACAACGGAAACTTTGGCTAACAAAAGCCTATCGGAATATCAGAAAGCACAATTACTTTCATCTAGTCTGCAGCGGTTTTAGCGCTGCGTACGCTTTAGATGATACGAGCGGTAGCCAAACCAATCAAATATTTCCCAGGAAGGATCCCAGCCTTTGAAAAAATTCGTAAACCGAAACCTATATTTAAGCAGATGGTAAAAGAACTTCAGCTCGACGAAAACAGTCACTTTTAAAAAAGCATGCCGCCAGTATATTTGGCAAAGCAGGTACCGGTACACCGGTGCGCCAACAACCGTTAAGCGGTGAAAACAGCCAGTACGCAACGCCTGCAAGTTCCCTTTCAAGGTCACAAGGAAAACGGAAAGTGTATGAGGACATGATCACGCCAAGCAAAATCGGCCATCAAAATCAAAAAACGACTTCAAACAACGTTAAACAAAATACATAATTTAAGAAATCGAGATCGGGTAGACTATTACGCCGTTGAAAATAAATATGATGATCCACAGCTGGGCTTTGGAAAAAGAAAACTTCAGCAACACAAGCGCTTAAAGTGGTTAGTTATTTAAGAATAGCAGGCATGGCGGGGTGCATACCAGTCAGCCTGAACTTTGGAGAGGGTATGAAGCTGACCTTTATTTCATCATGCTGTGCTGGGGATAAAGATTCGGAAGACTCAAACGTCAGTAAAGACAATAGCTTTGGTCAAAACAAAAACAAAGTTGACGTCAGTGTCCAAGTTGACCTAACTAAAGATGGGAGAAGCGGAGTACGTGAGTGCGGCGCAAGTGGCAAGCCTGGGGAGTGGAACGATTCCGGAAGCATCAAACCGTGTCAAGCGAACTTAATCAGCATGACAAAGCCCTAAAGCTTCTGCAAGGAATTGACGCCTACAATTTACATAAGCCGTCTCGGCGGAAATTCCGCAGAAATCCGGTAGTTTCAATACAGTTCGGTGAACAATACATGGCTGACCTGATGGATGTGTCCCGTTACGCAAAGCAGAATAAACATAAAAAATTTCTGCTGGTTGTTGTGGACAGTTTTTCCAAAAAAGTAGCATGCGAAATGCTGACAAAAAAAAGCAGTGAATACGTTCTTCCTGCCCTGGAGAAAGCCTTTTCTCGTTTGTATGGACCACCTATGTATTTACAAGTGGATAGAGGTACTACACACACACACACATAGGATGGAACCGTCGTAAGCGTCGCAAACTAACTGTATTATTCGTTCACAGGGCGTGAATTTTACAACAAACCAGTTCAAGACTACATGAAACAGAACGGCGTCGTTATGTTTTCTGAAGAGAACTGTGAAATTAAAGCTAACATGGCAGAACGATTCATCCGAACGTTACGAGAGCGTCTCATGCGACTGATGACCGCTCGTGATGGGAGTGTAAAATATTATGACAAGTTACAGGACATTATTCACAGCTACAACAGCACACCTCACACGGCGCATGGATTGGCGCCGAATGACGTCAATCGAGAAAATTCGCTTTTAGTGTTTCAGCGATTACAGTCCAACAGTAATAACAAAAGCAAAGCTAAGGTACCGCTATTTAGGGACGGAGAAACAGTGCGTCTTCGTTTGCAAAAGCAGCTTTTAAGAAAGGCGCTGATGTGAAGTACACAAAAAGCTATATCGAGTGAATAAGGTAATCAAGCATCGCGTACCTGTGTATGAAGTGGAACCTGCCGACGGTGGACCCAGTGTAATTGGAAAGTTTTATGAGCAAGAGCTATCAAAAGTAGCTGACGGAAATGGCTAGTGTTGTTGGAAACAGTACACCGTTTTACGTAACATTACCAAGCGATGCGTCAATGGACATGTATCCCAAGAACAGTGCGCAAATGTGGAAGACTAAACTAAAATTCCAATTTCCTTATCGGGCCGGTGGGAAGTGGGTTTGGTGGAATTGCAATATACAAACTCAATCTACAACATACCAAAAGAGCAAGAACTAACTGTTAACGAGTACGATGTCATCAGTGACACTTCCTTGTCATCGGTTCAGAATACGATCATCATTCCACCGGGTCTATATACATTGAAGGCGCTAATTGACGTAATTGAGCGACAGTCGCCAAACTCGGTAGACTTAAAGGTCGCAATGTTACTCCCTCACGCCTTCGCACAAATAACAGTACCACAAAGGTGTTCAATATACGTTATAATCCTGTAACGCTCAAGACGGAAGTAACGTTTAATAGCTTGCGTGGCAAGCTGCGTTTTTCGAAAACGATGACCGATTGAAAGGGTTACTTGGTTTTGTGCAGACTCAACACGATATAGACCCTTTAGACTTTAAAGATCTTGACGGTGTTCCTTCAAAATTTCGTTACTATATTGAAGAAATGATAGAAGAAGATGGGACGCCAGCTGAACCGTTCGGAAGAATTCCTAGTACTTTTATTACTCCTCGACCTTATCTATGGTACCTACTAAACAGACAAACAAACCGACAATGAATTCTGATACGTTTGAGTACGCACCAATGAGCTGGTAGCGTCAATAAATCAGGCTCAACTGCATTTTGCTGTTCACGTTTAGAGTCACATAAGAACCTCAAGTCTTGAGGAGCACAGAACCGCTCAAAGCTGTTAGCCACCCCAGTGCTGCTAAAAGGTAGAGACTGAAAAGCTAGGGAAAATATTGGAGCCAGCTCAGCCTTCAGACGCAGCAGTAACCTCTACTGAAGCCCCTCAACTCGTGACTGTTAAACAGCAAACTGGTAGCGGAAGTAAACGCAAACGCCCTACTAAACATTCAAAAAGAGAAAAAAACACGAAACGACGAAAGCACCGTACTAGTAACGGTTCTTTTGATAAGTATCCCGATATTTTCTAAAAAAAACTACAAAAATGCCTGAATATCTCCTACCACACTCAGAGCCGGCCATGTCTAGTGACATGAACCTGTTCTCCGTACCGGCATCGTTAACGGAACGTTTCAGCTATGAGACACAAGAGTATGGACCAGAGTCGGCGCCTCCGGAAGACTCACCATTAAGCGGTAACCTGTCTTTCTTTATCCCGCCGTCATCCAACGGTCTGCTCTCGCTCACGGATACGTGTTTTGAGTGTGAATTAAGTATAAAGAAAAGAACGCCACAAATGCATGGGTGAACCTAGAGAACAATGATAACGTAGCGCCTGTTAATTATATTGTGCATAGTTTGTTCAAACAAATTCATTTTACTGTGGCGAACAAGGTGATCTCTGACTGTTCACCTTATTATCCCTATCGCGCTATAATGGAGGTTCTAACAAGTTATACTGAAGATGCCATGAAAAGCCAGCTAACGAGCGGCGGATTTTATTTCGACACACCAGGCAAGATGGAACATGCCACAGAGAACACTGGTGAAGCAAAGCGCAAGGAGCTATTTGCTTTAAGTGCTAGCGTTCAGTTATCGGGAAAGATTTTCACGGACTTATGCGTACAATCAAAACCTTTGCTCACAGGCGTGCCCGTGCACGTTAGCCTATACTTTAACAATTCAGAATTTTATTTACGATCATGGAATACTGGTGCGGCGGCTGCAACAGAATACAAGGCATTTATGAAACATCCACGCATAACCGTACGACGCTATATCCCATCACCGGATTTCATGAACGCTATTACACAAAGTTACAAACAACAACCGCCAAATACCACATTGAACGCGCAGAATTAAAGGCGCGTGCTATTCCTGCTGGCACCCAAACCATAGCCTTTTCTGACCTCAAGTACGGCCAACTACCTAAGGTGGTATTTATTGCTTTTGTGCAATCGGACCGCTTCCATGGCACAACAAGCCTCAATCCGTTTGTATTTGATCATTGTCGCGTTCGTCAAATCTGTATTAATGTGGATGGGAAGCAATACCCAACGATACCCTACATGTGTGACTTTCCAAACAACCGCTATTTAAAGTGTTATGACGGCTTCTTGGATGTTTTGAATCAAAAAAACCATCCAGCTGGAGCCCATATTCTGGATCGTCATACATACGCAAAAGGATACACAGTGTTCGCTTTTGACCTGACGCCAACGGCTACAGGCTTAGGGCCCATGACGCTAATTCGATCAGGGACAGTGGGCCTGGAAGTAACTTGTTGACACACCACTAACTAATGCCTATCAAATGCTGGCTTGGATAACGTGCGACCATTTAATAGAATTCACCAATTTACGCCAGGTTATTTGCGACTTTGCGTCGTAATTAAACAACAAATCGTCACAATGAACGAACAGGAAATTCGGAATATCATGTGGTCACAGTACAACCCCGCTTCGCACATGCTGAGATCGGTGTTTCGCGGCGTTTACGCCCTAGATGAGCTACAGCAGCAGCATCTTACAGAGGTCGACCTACCTGCTGCGTTTATTGTAAACACTGATCCAGCCAGCGAACCCGGAACACATTGGATTGCCGTCTACGTTGAGTGCCCCTCATTTATTGAAGTTTTCGATTCCTACGGCAAACCCGTGGCCTATTATAGTCAGTCACTTGAAAATTTTCTGAAAACGCAACTCATCGGCCAGCCTGCGTCATCACCACCGTTGCCCCTATACGAACAGCGAGCTGTTTTACAACAGCCATTGTCCACTACCTGCGCTCAACACTGCATGTTTTTTATAGTAATGCGATCAGTATGTCGCTTTTCCTATTCCTACATCATTCATAACCTATATCGAATTGATAATCAATTTCAAAACGACTTGATGGTTCGTAACTTTATTAATGACTTTTTCAATGCAAAAACACGTGTTTATAATTTTGAAGCATTCTACTAACAATTAAATTGCAATATTGCCCTCGCAAAATCAAAAGGGAGGTGCGCTGCGCGCACACACACCTTTGGTTTTGCAGAGGGCCCGCGTGGCAATTAAAATGACAAATCGACTTGGGGCCGCCAACGCGAATCAAAAATATTTACAAATAACATCAGTAATAAATGATTACGAATATACTGAAACTGATGATATAGCGATTAAAATTACCTAAACGAGCTAAGATGATTGCTTGAAAAACCAAACAGGCACACACCACACACATACACAGAAACATTCATACTAGTTCAGTTTGAACTGCTCCTTGAAACGCTGCAGCATTTCAGCACACAGTCGATCTCCGTGCATTACCAGAAATTCGTCCGGCTTGAAGTGGTACGCCTCCAGCAAGTTGCGTTCCGCATTATGATGCGAGTGCGCTGCTTCGTCAGCATAGCGGTACGGCAGTTGCTTGAGAAACAGCCCCAGCAGAGTCTTTTCCACATCCTTACAGACATAGCTTCGCATACGGTCCGTTAGTTGTATACGATCCGAGTAGCGGCATGCAGTATGGCCATCATGAGCTCCAGGTTGCAGCGGATCAGCAAAGGTATCCTCCATAAGGTGGCAAAGCTTGCATTCTTGCGTCAGGCGTTTGCAAAAGCGCTCCATCATAGGCCACGGTAGCTTCTCAAAAATATCCTGGTAGTCGGCTTGGCAGACTTGCATGGTAGGGTACCCGGATCGTCCCTTCAGCACCTCATACGTATGCTTAAGGATGGTTCCGTTGTCCAAAAGTTCACAGAACGCCGTCCAGTTCTTTTCACTACAATTGCAACAACCACAACAACCATAATAATAATATCAATAAGCTAAACGGTTATGAAATAACCAAAAAAAATAAGTAAATTTGGGTATTAATTATGCTGCTATCACTAGAACACAACACTCACTTCATCGCAAGTCGTTTCTCACTGGGTGAGCCGATGACCACCTTTGTTCCCGGTTCTTTCAGGCTGTTTGCTTCAAGGTAAACCCGAATGTTGGCAATGGGTACTTCGTCAAGCCTGAGGAGAAGCAACCGCAGAAATATAATAATAATGTGCCATAGAAACAAAAGCACAAGGTTGTTATATGAATGACTTTCTTACCATCCCCAGTTAAAGAAGTAACCTCCGCCCAGGTCATGCATTGCCGTAATGGGTGTAGAGCCTTCGTCATAATTGATCAGTCTTTCCAGTTGTCCACACAGTTGTAAACCCATTAGTTTGGCAAACTGCTTCGCATCTAACTCGACATGCTTGGACGCTAAACTCGGAACCCACTGACCCTCCTGATTTTTATCAAACTCCCCAATAATGTATCGCAAACGGTTGTTCATCAAGTAAACTGCAATGAATTTTTCTCCTCCAAATTTAATTACCGGCCCACCTTCGTACTGAAATGCAACCTGCCCTGGGTAAACCCACGCCGAGCTAAGCTAACTGCATCGGTTTTGGGCTTATACGAGTCCGCGGTGACCTTACGTTTCTTAGTACCAGTAATAGTTAATGCCCTAACAGGCTGAAGTGATGCCGGAATAGTCGACAACGATGGTGATGACGACAAGGCAGCCAAAAGGTCACTGTTATCACCTGATACACTATCTACGCTTCGCATTGCAGCCATTGCGGTGAAAATTTAAAAATACTCACAAATAACGGTAACACGCTACGATAACGCTTTAAACTCAAAGCAGACAAACAGAATAATGGACAACTAAATCAAAGTGGAGGCAGGAATACGCAAACTCTATGCACTAACATCAGAAACACGAGCCGACCTACTCATTTTATAGCCAACTAAATAGGTTAAAACAGCAGCATGTTTATTCTTGCTTTTGTTTTTAGTCATCGGGTGGACACCCTTTATACAATGCATCAGCTAAAGTACTAGCATTGTTTGCTTCCGTTATCTCGGGCATCGCCTCAAACTCACGCTGGTCAGACGAAAGTCCATAGAAAGCTCCATATAATGCGCCTGCCATGAACGTACGACCATCCGTGTCACCTCCAAGGGCAATGCAGCTCTGGACCATTCGCTTCCAAGGTGACATGATGTTATATCCAGACCACCACTGCAGGTTTCCACCCACGAATGCCATGACCATAGCCAGCGGAACAAAGTCCTGTGCGGCGCGCGAGTTAACATTCGGATACAGTCGGATAATGTCTGCCGGCGAACGCAGTACGCTATGGTTTACGTATAACGCATTGGCAGCTATCATGTTCTCTCCAAATGGTGGTTCGAGAGTTGAAGCATAATCCTCTAGCCGTTTCAAAAAGGTCGTCACTGAAGCTGTGCGGGCGCTATCACACGCTTCCTGTAAACCAAAGGCAAACAGCACAGCTCCATCAATCCCCAAACGATGCGCATGTGTGATGGCTACACACTTCTCGACTTCTCTCCGGAGGAAGCAACTAGGTTCGCGGCAGTAGTACAAAGCCACCGCTGCAGCCATCACTGCTCCGTGATACCCGTGAGAGCCCTGCCCACCGTGCGCACTTCTTGCAGGCCCACAAACGTAAGCTTCGTCATCTCGTCGAAGAGCAAAGTTGCTCTCGCTGCTTGTAGCATTCCATCGCCGATGAAACTCTTTCAATAAACGCTCCATGTGCTTACTACCCCCAAAGTAGTTGGATGATCCTAACGCTTTACCCAGTCCATCGGCTATATAGTCACGCTCGACTGTATAGCAACCTACAGTTACTTCGAGAACCACCAGAGCAACTGTTCCACTAAACCCACAACGCACATAACAAGGATCCTTGGCCACATCAGCACACCGCTCATGAACTTCTCTCAAGGTTGGTAAATGGCTTCTGTAGAAGGGTGTATTGAACAGACGACCAAAGCTGCTGGCAACAACACTCCCCACGAGGCAACCTTTTAACCTATCGTGCAATCCACCTTGCCAGTCACCTTGCCAGATAATGTGCTGAATGGCATCCATTGTTCCGGGCGATGGTGGTGGCGATGTCGATGTTGATGATAAACGAACATTTTCGGGTTCACATCCAGACATGTTCTATCGACTACTATATAAACTGCAGCAAAACTGACAAAACTTCAGTTGCACGTTTCGTTTTCCCTAACTGTTTCTTAGCTGTCTAAATTGCGTCCGTTTATATATCCTGCATTACCATGGACCCTGCTGAGGAAAGGCGTCGAGCGATATGCGTTGTCATTACGATTGCTTTTTTTGGTAGTCTGCTAGCACTTGTTCTGATTTTATCGGGCATTACTTTTGGAACCGTCACCACTTTTCTACCCTATCGGCCATCAGCCGCCGCCAGTATCGACGAAGCCAACACCACCCTGGACTTTACTTTCAATAACGACACAATGCCAACATTCAAGTTCATGATCAAAGGGCTATGGTACGTAACCGTATGGCACAGTAGTAAAGTCATCTAAGATGCGTCGTTTGTCGTACGTCTTTTTGAACCGCTTTGTCATAGGCACATCTTGGATTTCATATGTCCGTTTCTTCCGGCGAATAGTACTACCATATGTGACGGAAAGGGACTCGGGCTGAACGTTACCATGAGCGCTATCGGAGGCGGTCTCATCTTGGAGAGGTTGGGTTGCGATTTTCAACATCGAATCAAAATTCAACACCGTTCCTGTAAGTTTATTAATTTCAAATCCTTTGATTTTACAGACCTCCTGCCCAGATGCCGTAACGTAGCTGTAAGATTTTGGACCAGTACTACAGAAGCGCGTAATGAAGTCGTCCTCGGCCAGCTCATTACTTAACATCCCCAGAGTGGACCCGGTTTCAAACGGCTCATCACCTGGACGCTGAACAAAGATAATGCTGTCCTACAATTTAAAAACTATGTTTTTTTCTCGTTTCTTCTAGTTTCATATGCTTTACGCTAATGCTTTAGCTCTTACCGTATCAAAGTATAGTAATCGCTCGCCAGCTCTTTGCATGAATTTCAATAAATGTAATCTTGCGTGTGCCGTTGTAAACCTGACAGCAAAAAATAAGTACAAGTCTAATTTACCTGATTTAAATGAAGCACTAAAACTGAAACTATTATCACTTACGCTGCTAGAACCACGTTCGTTTTCGGGTTAGTCGGAACCATAGCATCCTTCCTCGTGTACATTATTTGTACAACGTCATCCGAAAATACGTCATAATCATGGATTTCGAATTCTGAAGACGTTAAATAGTGCAGAAAATCCTTCACAGTGTTCACGAAAACTGTGCTGAGAAGGTTATTTCTCATTCCCAGCCGGCCCCAAAAGCTGTAAACACCATAGCATAAATTACTAATACTACAACTACTCTTAGTGTATGACCGACACCAAACAAACAAAAAAAATCAAGCACTAACCTGTTCAGGCACAACTTAGCGAGCTGCCGCAGTCCCGGATTCCAGCTTATTTTGGAACCGTCCAACCGGATGCCTTCCGTTTGGAAAAAGTGGTCCAGAAACGCATCTTGCTGCTCTGGAGTTTTAATATCAGCCGGCCAGCCAGAAGCTTGCACTTTAAGCGCCAGGAACAAATCAATATAATCAGCAAAAAAGCGCTCTCTGCTGTCGGGATAGTGCCATACTTCGTGAATTTCCATTAGTTCATAACCATTTTTCACGGCTTCTTGTAGTTCTAGTGTGCACCAAGTCCCCGTCAGAGCTCTTTGCTCCGGATCCTCGTGCGTGCAAACTTGCTGATTCTTTTCTTCAGCGCAGGTGCGGCATAACGTGAAAATCAGTTTATCGAAATGCGCCGGTAATATCGGTATCATCAGGTTGCGAGGCGGTAATATTTTGCAATGCATAATTCCGAAATAGTTATCCAAGGTTTTAAAATTATTAGTAATTCTTTTATGCTTGCCAACCGGATAGCGCTTGTTTTTATTGACATATGGATATTCGGATACAACATCCAAGTACATTATCTTCTCTCCAGGCTTGACCTTATAGTCTAACACTAGGGCATTTACTCGTCCTCCGAACAATGCTTTTCTCGGGTCAAGCGGTTCAACAATCCGTATGTTCTTTATAGCAGTAGCAAAATTAGCGTCGTTTTTAATGCGACTGTCATATTCACATTCCCAAACGCTCACAATATTGATTTTAAGCTTTTTCAACATTCCTTCGCGCCGTACGGTTCGCTCGTACAACTCACCCATTGTGGCGTCCTGATGCGGGTGGCGTGTACTTGGATTCGTGCATATTGGATGGCCATGGTGCACGCACCCATAAAATTCATATGCAGTTCGACTTTCCAGATGGTACCCATCAATGAATAATGCACCAATTTTGAATTCTCGCTCCAGTTCAATACCTTGGCTCTGACTTATACACTGTAACCATGAATTGGCTTTATTGGAGGATATTCTGTTGCTGGGCATACGAATAACCTCAACTTCCAAAGGCTTTAGCAGCCTGGACCTCCAAAAATAATGACAAACACTTGGAAGGGTTAAACCGGATTGAAAAATACATAGTCCATCCGTAATTTTGAAAAAAAGTTCGCGCAGCTGCATTGCACAACAACGTAGCGTGGTCACGTCTTGGTGGCAATAGGCAGCCAGTTCCTTGTTGACGTCATACAATCCTCTTTTTAAAGCTTTGTCTTCATTATAGAATTCCATAAATGCATGTTTTTCTTTATCGCTCATAAATCGGTAGTTGAACTTTTCAATGTCCGGATAGTCAATAACTGTGTTCCAAAATTGTGGTCGGTTCAGGACATGTGGAAATTTACCTTTAGTTTCCTCAACGGCGAATGATTTCGCCCAGTTGTCCAATGACAAAGGAACATAATTGAGCGTATCCCGAAAGTTAATGCCAAACTCCCGATCGCGCAGGTGCGTGATTTGGGAACCTTTCATGATAACGTCAGGCGCTTGACCTTTCTGAAGCAGCCATTTTAAAATAAAATAGCCATCGAACCTAGAAAGCCCACCACTTTATCCGTAAGCTGTATACTTTCAACGTATTTCATGTTGTGTGAAACAGAAGAAGAACTAAAATTTCTTACCCTCTAAAGTTATGTGCCAAACAAAAGAATCCAGCATGCTTTTCTTGGAAAATAAATTCACAGACATCGCCTGCAATGTCTTTGCCAATGTTGCTGATGTCCTCGGGAAATTGGCGGGTTTCAATGGGCTTTCCATCTTCTTGCACTTGTATTACACAAAAATTTGGGATGTGCTTTCCATTACCGTCGGGGTACGTCTCGAAATCAAAGTACATGAAACTAGCAGATTTGTGCTTGGCTAATACTTTGTCGTCAAGTTTCTCGGGTTTAATATAGCAGTCATGGTGCTCCGGTAATACATAACACAGGCAAACCGAACAATAAATTTCGCCGCATACATGGTCTGTCCCGTATCCTCGTTTCACGTTCGTCTTTATGAATGCTGAGCAATCTATGCAGACCTTGAATTTTTCGCAAATGCTTTTCTTTTTGTTATGGTTTGTGCTTTTCGCTGTCTTTGCAAGGTGGTGGTTAAAACACTCGTTGTTTCTAAAGCCCGTTCGATTGCATCCCGCACAGTATCGCGCAAAGTTTGCTTCGAGCTCACACCTTTCGCGCAAGCAAAGCTTGCAGGTATATTTACAGCGATGATCACCTTCGTGAGAGTACCCCTGATTACAATGAAAACACCATTTGCTTTTTTCGTACCACCCTTGAAGAGATGTTAAAACGTCAAAATGGTTGGCATAATACAATAGCATTAAGCGTTTTTCCCTGAATTCGCCAGCAAAGATAATGCTGTTAAGCTGTTCCAGTCCAACAATTATGATTTGATAATCGCTTAGTAACTTTTGAAAAGTCTCTACGTCGTCCAGGCTGTAGCGCCGCTCCGTCAGGCCTGCAGCTATTACCAGCTGTTTCGCCAATAATGTCTGCTGATCCTTATGCTGCTTTTCTGGGTGCTTATGTGCCCTGGTGTCACGTAGCGTTGAATACAGCTGCAGATCGTCATCTGCTAAGGCTTTAGCCGTTACTAGGGACCGTGGTAAACATAAATTATCGTCGTTCTTTATGCGCACGATAGACATCTTGTTTTTCAGTAGCCTTTTAACGCTTTCAGGAATCACTAGATTGTCATTACCTCCACCATCCGGCGTTTCTGTGTACTGGACTTCAATCCTGAAGCTTTCATCCAAGCGAAAGCTTGTTGAACTTTGCATCACCCGTTCCACGCGCGCCATGATACGATCCACAGTTAGTTCGTCCCGCCGCATTAACGGTGTCCAAATAGGAATCTTCTTTCGCAAATGATCGCTGTATAATTGCACGCGTACCATATACCAAGGCTGAATTTTGTCTACCAAAATTCTGTTAAGCAGTTCTTCAAAAATGCTTTCTATTACTCCACAGAGGCGTGAAAACGGAACATCAAACAACTCGGGCGCGATGCGGCACTGAAAAACCGCAAGTGCAGTTTTCCATTTCTGAGAATAAGTATCTGCTACCTGCTCAAGTAGCAGATTATCTTCTGAAATGCTAGGGATGCTACCTAAGCCATCTTCTTCTTCTTCTTCTTCGTGGTTGTCAGAATGCTCATCCATTTTTCGCTCAATAAACACAACTTGTAATGTGTACACAGCTAATGAACTCAAGAGACTCCTTCGAATTATGATTACCCTGCTGAATGACGTTCACGGCTTTATATACTTGTTATTCTTATTAAAATCGGTCAAGTTCTAACACGCCTTATCGACTAACAGCAAATCGTAAACAAGGGCTACCCACCACCCGCGAAAAAAAAAGAAGAAAGCTAACAGAAGTCAAAGTTTGTGACCAAAGATTACAAAGCATAATCAAGCATACGTAAACTAGTTCCTTTGCCAAAACAAGATTTTGCGTCTATCAACAACCTTTGATGTGCCTGGTGACACAATTTACAGAAACAGTTAATCATACGTGGAAAAGCCATACCGCGTGCAGCTAGTAGTAAACGTAACATATAGTACCGAAATTCGTTGAGGTAGCCAATGTTCATATCGTCTCCACAAATACGCACTGCACTGTAGATTGAGAACGCGTCGTTGGATGTCACTTTGCGCATGATGCTCTCCACTGCATCGATCCCGCGGCAGTCCAGGCGTGTTAACCAGTACTCGCAGATTGTCCGCCAAACCGTACGTAGATGAGGCGTAGTCCTCAGATGGGGGAGTGGATCCTTGGAGGTCAGATGGAAAGTGTCCAGCAATTCCTCGGCGACATGGATGACATGGTGAGGCTGGTTTGCTCCACGAGCGAACAAAGCATTAAGCTTAAGATATCTACAACGTACAGAGCGATTAGTACAACGCAGCACGACTCTATGACTAAAGCTTAAAAGAATGATACATACGATTTCTCCGTTCTCATCCACCCGCACTCAAGGTACGACATGTCCGAGTGCACATATCCAGGAATAAGATGGCGGAATCCGTAGACATAGACGTCCTCCAACTCCAGCGTGTTTATCCATTCCACGGTCTCCAGAATCGCCCTAACACTCATGAAACCTCCCCTAACGGTGATATGGCGCAGCTCCGGTGCAACGTCCTGCAGAACCAGCAGTACCGTGCAGAAATGGTCGTGCATATGATTGATGTAGGCCCCGTTGCTTTCCCTCATGTCAAAGGTGATGCATTTCGTGCGGTTGGACACTACGCAAAACAGCTTCTTGCTAAAATTTCGAACTTCACAGTACAACCTGTCACACGGAGGATGGATGCCTTCATTGGTGTAGTTATCCACATCCGAAGCTTTGAAGATGACCTCGGGTTTGGAAGCTCGGGCAGCTATTTCTTCTTCTGCGTAGAAGTTGAACGCCGATGAAACCCGCTTCAGATGATATAAGTCAATGGGGGTCATCAAGGAAACGATGTACTTCATCGTGTCCTGCTGGTAAAATGGAAGCCCGCATCCATCCGGTTCGGTGTACTGTCGCAACCAGTTCCTGGTGGGTGTTGCCGACGTCCAGATGTCCCTGGCGCCTTGCGCTTCAAGACTGTCCGCTGCATTGCCGGCATACACCGTCTCCACGCCATCCCTCCATGTGCACATCGCACAACCAAGGTCGCCTGGTTCTCCGGCTGAATTGGGTCGCTTCCGGGGGGACGTGGCGTACCACTTCAGTACATCCTCCAACTGGTGATCGAAGCAGTGGGGAAAGCGGTTGGAAACTCTTGGGAGTTGGAAATCCTTGAACACCTCCTTCGGCACCGGTTGACATTCGGGACACGCCTCCGTAACAATCTGCGCTTCTTCGTCGCTGTCATGAACACACTTGCAATATTTACAAGGAGAACCTTCTAGTTGAATGCTACGCTTCATTGTAGTGACTTAGTAAGCGAACGACTTACAAAAACTGGAAATGAGCCGTTCGTGCGTTGCGTCGAGTGCTTTTATATACCTAGCTGTATAGCATTGCTAGCTTGCACTTGATTGGCTTGATACGGTATTGATTGTTAATTTTTTTTCTTCCCAGGGCTCTTCCCTTCATTATATTTACGTAGACATCTTGATTAAACGGACTACAATTACTTGGCATAACAGTTAGAACATTAGTCCAGAGTTTATTAGTCTGATGGCATCAGTATCATGCGGCTAGTATGTGGACTTTAATGTGTTATATCATGGTTTTCGCCACAACAATTATGCTACTAGACATCTAGCATACCAATCAATCCGTTTTCATAACCGTTGCTCCATTGATTCATTCTCTTAATTGTTTCCATCAAGGCTTCCTTGTACTCCGTGACCTTGTCAGCCTTGAACCCTGTTTCATGGAGTTCGATGAATTTCTGCATGACCTCGCGTCTTGGGTTCTTGCTTCCCTTCTTAAACAACCCAGGACGCAGCGTCTTGCGTAATTTCCCTTTAACCTTGTCCGTTTGACTCATCAATCGCGCAAACATTGATTGCACTGGTGCTTGGCACAACGCTTGTGTTGTCATTTTCCTGAAGGATTTCAGATGGCGTTGCATCAGCTGCAAACAATGCGAACATAACAAATAATTAGTCCCAACGAGCTCATCATTGAAAAGGATACTTAACCGGGACGTACTTTGCCCAGTTCTTTGTCGTCCAAATCGGAATCCATATTAAAAGTGTCTGGCTGGAATATATCAAGGATGTCCACCTTCTTCTTTTTCTTCGCCGGTTTCTGTCCTGCCTTCCGGATCAACGGATCCGGTTCTCGTTCCACTGACCGACGGTACAGCTCTCGGTGTTCCGTTCGCTTACGCAGGACAGTGAGCAACAAGTCTCTTGACTTCTTCGGCTTCGTGGTTTGCGCTAGGGCTCTGGACGCCGCTTCCCTTAATTCATTCAGCCCTAGCTGGACTTCACGGAGTTCACGGGTGCATTCATCAATGGACTGTAGCACAGTGCGATGTACGGCGGCAGCTGCTTCTTCTACATGGCGATTTTCTTTAAACAGCGCAACCTGTACAGAACAAATGCATTTTGTTATCCATTGCGGTACAATACAGACCAATGTATTGTTCCTGATCGTATAGAAAATCGTACCGCTTTCTCGTACAGATACTGCTTAGCCTATTCATCCAGTTTTTAATCTTTTCATCAGCTTTCTCCTCCTGGTCTGGGCATTGTCTTTACCGGCATGATAGAGCGTCTTCCACTCAGCCTTCACCTAGAAGACAACAATAATAGATGAGAAAATAAGCATGCCTGTATGCATAGGTAAATAATTTTATTCCTAATACGTCAGGTAAAAAATTTGCGTACCCATATGAGCAGCTTAATAATTTTTCGTACCAGGTAGTCCGTTGAAAAATTTGCGTGCCAATATAAGCAGCGTAATAATTTTTAGTACCAATTAGTCCGCTAAAAAATTTGCGTACGGGTATGCGCAGCTTAATAATTTTTAGTACCAGTTAGTCCGTTGAAAAATTTGCGTACCAATATAAGCAGCTGAATAATTTTTAGTACCAGTTACTCCGTTGAAAAATTTACGGGTCAACATAAGCAGCGTAATAATTTTTAGTACCAATTAGTCCGCTGAAAAATTTGCGTACGGGTATGCGCAGCTTAATAATTTTTAGTACCAGTTAGTCCGTTGAAAAATTTGCGTACCAATATAAGCAGCTGAATAATTTTTAGTACCAGTTACTCCGTTGAAAAATTTACGGGTCAACATAAGCAGCGTAATAATTTTTAGTACCAATTAGTCCGCTGAAAAATTTGCGTACGGGTATGCGCAGCTTAATAATTTTCAGTACCAGTTAGTCCGTTGAAAAATTTGCGTGCCAGTATAAGCAGCGCAATAATTTTTAGTACCAGTTAGTCCGCTGAAAAATTTACGTACGGGTGTGCGAAGCTTAATAATTTTTAGTACCAGTTAGTCCGTTGAAAAATTTGCATGCCAGTATAAGCAGCTGATTAATTTTTATCCTCAATTAGTCCGCTGAAAAATTTACGGGTCAACATAAGCAGCGTAATAATTTCTAGTACCAATTAGTCCGCTGAAAAATTTACATACCGGTATAAACCGTTCAAAAATTTTTATACCCGGTCGACCCGCTGAAAAATTTGCGTACTAGTCCGCACAGCTGAAAAATTTACATACCGGTATAAGCTGTTCAAAAATTCTTATACCCGGTTGACCCGCTGAAAAATTTGCGTACTAGTACGCACAGCTGAAAAATCTACATACCCGCATAAGCTGTTCAAAAATTTTTATACCCGGTTGACCCGCTGAAAAATTTGCGTACTAGTACGCACAGCTTAAAAATTTACATACCAGTATGTACGCTTCAATAATTTTTATACCCTGTCAGTCCGCTGCAAAATGTACCCATTAATATAAGCTGGTAAAATTTTAACGTATCGTTATCACGCTAAAATTTCCATCCTCATATGTTGGTTAAATTGAATTAGAATTGTCCAGTTACTCAGCTACAATTTACCGCAGGAACAGCAGCGCATAGTTGTACATACAACAATGTTATGGTAAAACATTACAGTATATACATAATGATAATGCATTAACGATGCAAGCATACAGCATACATAACTTACTGATATTTTATTCATACAACTATAGTACACAGCATAACAACAATTATTCAAGAGAGTACAGTGATTGCACTACAGTAATAATTAAAATGTTATCTCACCTCGTTTTGCGACATCTCTGTGTATGGCAAGCAGGAGTTCTATACGCGGGAACGGATGCTGGGTGTCCAGTGCGGTTTCCAGATTGACAGCCGAATGAATGCGTGGGTTCCTGTGCGCTACATGTGTATAATTACTGTGTGGGTGCTTGATGGAGTACCACAAGCACACACAGTACACGATCTGCCACGCTCAAATACAGAAAAAAGTGGTACGGGATCAAAGTCCCTTACCACGCCAGACAGTCATGCTGCGAGCACATTTTCTGACAGAGCGACATTTTGTTGTGGTTTCTGTTAATGTGCTCGCACATGGTAGAGCTGCTTGCTTCCTACATATTACACCGTGTTAGTAGCGAAACATACCATCGGAACACCCTGATTAATTATCCGCTTAATTATTAAGCGATACCATTCCTCTCGATGCTATTCCGTCTGAGAAATACTTATTGCTGCAGTGCTGCTACATATACAGTACTAGCAGCGGAATATACGATCGGAATACTTTGATTTTCCACACTGATTACTAGCCGATGACATTCCGTTCGACATTTTATTTGCGATACTTGAATGGAATTTACCAGGTAATATTTGTATATTTATCTATAATTTTGGTGATTTTTTTCTGATTATTACGATTTTTTCTGAATTTTTAATTAATTTTTCAAAAAACGGGACGTCATCCCGGGACGCTCTTATCAGCGTCCCACATCTAAAAGCCGGTCGAGACAGGCATATTACTACTGGGGTTCGATTCCGCCATCGGTGCATTTTTCGGCCTTAGTATGAAGCCCGGCTTAGAGGCGCAATTCGAAATATGTAGTTAGCGACGTCACAATGACACACTGCCTGTCTGCAATCCTGGCGAGAATCAAGAATAGGTTAACAGCGCATTGTTTGCGAAAGCACAAGGTTGTTATAAACTTATAATAATGGGCTTCCAAAAAGTTTCCGGGCCAAATTCGTGCACATGAATGAAAACTTTCGCGAACTCCTAAATAACTTTTATCCATTCTTTTGTGGTATTTTATAGCCAACTGATTTGTGATACGAACGTATACACTACACATTTGGGGTGAAAACCACTTGTGCACGCAACATCCGGTTCGGGAGTGATGGGCAAAATGGCATCCCACAACTTTTGAATGATTAGAAATGCATCAAAAGACTCAGTTTTCAATCGATCCTCTCCAAAAGTCAGACAAAAACGCTCACTGTCAATTGCACAAAGATAGTTTCCACACCGAACCATACGTTCCACGTTCCATCATGATTTTAAAAATTGTAAAATGAATTTCAAACATTTTAAAAAATATTCGGGTTTGAAAACATTCAAAAAACATTCAAAAAATGGTACTAGCGCTGTCGTTTTTAACCACCTTTTTCTTTCAAATTATCAAGAAAAAGTTTTCAAGATTTTTGTATTTAAGGATTGTAAACATTTGGGAGTTGAGTACAGCTTCGCCCGATGCCGAGGATGCTAAAAATTATGCGAAAAGTATCCGAAACTATGCGAAAATTATGCAAAAACAAAGTCAGTGCCTTACCAAGCGGCGCGATTTAACTGGACTGGCATCCTGCCGTTGGAGATACTGCAGTGTTCGCTTGCACTGAGAGAGTGAGATACACCAAACGTCAAACCAGAGTGCCAAGTCCCGCTGAAAGATCTCCCCTGCTAACTGCGATCCATCAGCACCACAGGCATCAGGTAGCTTCCCCAACCGCACGACAAAATCCTTCTCCAACACGCGAAACTTCTCCCACTCCCCGTCCGCGGGCGGTGGGCGCACCTGGTCGCGGGGAACCAGCTCCGGGATGGTGCCGTACAGCGGTACTTGCACACATACCAGATGCTCATTGTGGTAGTCTCCCATGTCGACCGTCGTTCCAGGGTACCAGATCCACGCGCCGTCGGGCAAACGGTGCAATAAAACTTGCACAGCGGTGGCTGACGCTTCCTGGCTGTTGCTGAAGCGGAAGATGCGCCCGTATTTAACAAACTGTGCGCGGTGCCCCGCACGGCGGAAATCAATGATCAGGCCACCTTTGGCTACGTCGATGACGTCGCCGTGCTGCAGGAGTCCGTCGACGAGAACGTCCACGGCGTTCCACGCGTTGCTGTGATGTCTGTTGTCTCCGTACACATGCATGATTTATTGATGCGTGATGCCAGATCAGTTTGGTTCCAAACGACACGGTGACAACCTGGAATGGTTTCTGCAACTTTCTTGTAATTTACTATTATTAAGATCTGTACAAAAAATACTGGACGAAAAATGAAAAGGGATTTGAATCAAAATTTTCAAATACCGTGATGGCGTGATGCTTAAATGCGTATGACACATAAATTGGCATCACGCTGCCACACCAAGCGGTTGCAACTGCTTCGAGTGCCGGAAGTGCCCTCTTGAATTTTCGTCGCGAAATTTTTAGCGCGGAGGTTTGATTTTTTAACAGGAAAGTGGTTTTCCACAGTAATCCAAATCACTCTCAAACTGCCCCTGTGTGTTAGGTAGGAGCTGTAAAATTTCGCCTCTAGGAGCGACTCTGTGTAGTAAGCGCCGTAGTCAAAAATCAACACCTAACTCGCCTTGAATTCGGATTTGTAGGTGCACTGTGTACGCAGAACAGTACTTATTAGTTGTCCGTAGTCTGTACATTGTTTGTTTCGCAATGTGAAAAATTAATAATTTAAGGATTGCATAAACAAATTCCAGCAAGTTGATGCAGCCTAAATTCGTACAATGTGGCACAAAATACTCGCATAACTTGTCATTATTACTGTAGTCAAAAGGTGATAACGCTTAGGTTATCAACAGTGACCGCCTAGAAACAATGTTCGTCAACGCAGACGGTTCACATTTTTCAGTAGTCGTTCCCGGCCTTCGTCCAAGGCCCGGGTGAATTCAGAATTAGCTTTTTGAATAACAGTCGTATCCAAGTTCGGCAGAGACGGCTTAATGCCCTGTTAGTTGGCCAGAATCCAGCAATTGGTTGCATAATACCGCCGCCGTCAGTGTGTTCAACTGGGTGACATCCAGATCGGAGAGGTTATACGCGGCACTTGTATTTTATTGCTTGCGCTCGTACTTACTGTACTAGCGGTGGTTGCGAACCACATTATTGCACGAATGCGAGCGCCACTACCACTGCGAAATGGTACTGGGATTGTGGAATTGGAAAAGCGTGACGTACGCTCTTCATGGCGTCAGACAGATTTTATGCTCTTGACGAAGGCTTATTGCAGCACCTTGCGCTTCGCGCTCGGTGCAAATTATTTTTTAGTAATTTTGTACAAATTTATGCCGTTACTTTAGGCCCGCTTTCTCGCTAAATTTAGCAGTTGATGTAGTTTTATCCGGCACACGGCTTGATAAGTACTCTAGTAGACCTGGAGCAGTTGGTTGCGAAACAATTTCTAGCAGTTTCTATGCGACAGGGTGATCCTGAAGGACTGTCACATGTCGGATGACAATGTGGGAGCGGATGTCGCGCTGCACGCCTTCAGCGGGCAGCAGTCGCTCGAGGAAATTGAACTGCAGCTGTGGGATGTGTTCGAACGTGGTCTCATTCTCAGACAGCCGCTGAATCGATCGGCATTGGCGGAGCGGATCGATGGCTGACTGGCGGACTATGCCATGCTGGAAGACAACGGGACCGAAGAGCAGATTATGACGGTACGTTGCACCATAGGCGAATTTTTATCGCTTGGACATGAGAGGCACCGAGTGCCCGGCAGACGGTTAAATAACTTGCTGTAGAAACTGCTAGAAATTGTTTCGCAACCAACTGCTGCAGGTTTACTATAGTACTTATCAAGCCGTGTGCCGGATAAAAACTACATCAACTAAACTACATCATTTAGCGAGAAAGCGGGCCTAAGTAACGGCATAAATTTTTACAAAATTACTAAAAAATAATTTGCTGCTGCAATAAGTCTTCGTCAAGAGCATAAAATTTGTCTGACGCCACGAAGAGCGTACGTCACGCTTTTCCAATTCCACAATCCCAGTACCATTTCGCAGTGGTAGTGGCGCTCTCGCTCGTGCTCACCATTTTGCGGTGGATGGGTTCCGTGGTGAAGCAATTGCGGCGCTGGAGTAGATACCGCTTCTTCTTTTTGCGCCAAAGCCATAACAGATGCCTGCAACCAGACACATCCTTCGTTCATGCTAAGATACACTATTAAACGTAATAATTAATTAATTAAACGTAATACGTAATTACGAAAACACACGGATGTATGCATTTATAATAGCCTTCAAGATGGTACCAAGTTACCAGCCACTAAATAATACGGGCAGTGTCCGGTATATGGTGCAAAAAGCCTGGACATCTGCGAAAACGTTCGCTTTCGCGCACGCGCAAATACTTTTTATGCATTCGTTTACGACGTTCTATAGCAATATGATTTGTATACATCGGCGTAAAAACCGTTGGTGTGCGCAGAATTCGGTTGGGAAGTCACGGGACAATGGCATTCCAGAACTTTAAAATTAAAAAAATTATGAATCAAAAGTCACGTTATCACCCGACCCTCTTCAAATTTTGTACGTAAACGCACAGTTCCGTGAAGATCGTTTTCACACCGAACTAAGTTTCCTTGCATCATGGTCCAAAAATTTTTCAAATGAATTTCAAAAGTTGTGAATTATTCTGAATCATTTAAAATTCAATTTGGAAAAAAATGTCGCTGGGCGCAATCATTTTTGGGTGTTACCATCCTTTTTCGAATTAAAAAAAAATTTAAGAATTTAAAATTTAGGATTGGCGGACATTCGGGAGCTGCGTGTACCAACAACTCTACCAAATCCGTTGCTGACCATGCTGCGCGTCTTCACTGGACTGGCATCCTGCCGCTGGAGATAGTCCAGAGTCCCCTTGCGCGGAGAGAATGAGATAAAGGAGAGGTAAAAGCTCTCCGTCAGGTCCTTTGAAAGATCTCCCCTAACAACGGTGATCCATCTGCGGGATAGGATCAGGCAGTTTTCCACGCCGCACCACAAAATCCTTCTCCATCACACGGCACTCCTCCCAATTCCCGTCCGCGGGCGGTAGGCGCACTTGGCCACGGGGAACCTGTAGTGTATGTAGTACTCGTACAAACATTGTACGAGTATCTCGTGAAATGGATAATGGCCTTTGGCTAATGTGCCGTAGCAACGGTATTGTTGTTGTCCGTTATTGTTGCCATGTCTAGTGTTTAGTTGGTTGTTTGCTGCTGTCCCGAGCGGACATAATAAAAGATTATGCCGTTCGTTCAATACATGACAGAACCAGCTCCTGGATGGTTTCCCGCAGCGGCACTTGCACGCCTACAAAACGCTCCTTGTCGTAGTCTCCCAGGTCGATTATCGTCCCACGATACCAGATCCACGCGCCATCGGGCGGACGGTGCAATAAAACTTGCACCGCGGTCGCTGGCGGGAGCGAGTAGTCGCTGCTGCTGGTGGAGAAGCGGAAGATGCGCCCGTCTTTCACCAACTGCGCGCGCTGTTCAGTGCATCGGAAATCAATGATCAGACCATCCTTCGCTAAGTTGATAATCACGCCGTGCTGCAGGACGCCGTCGACGAGGACGTCCAGGGCGTTCCACGCGTTCGGGCGATATATCCTGCCTCTGTACACATGCATCGCGCTGCTGAGTTCGGATGTTCGTGATTCTCAACAGTCGACCAGCAATAATTTAAAATTCTGCACTTTTAATGCATTACATCCCCAATTCTACAGCATAATTACCCGTGAAACGGAAAAAAATGACACACAAGTTCTGACAATTGTTTGCAGCTTTTCATTTTAGGTGGAAAAATCGAAAAATTAAAAATGCTTTTCAACGAAATTCAGTTTCCGGGGGCGGTTGGGTACTTGGTTATACTGCATCGCGCGCACCGCCTCGAGGAGACGGCGTGCTGAGCATGTGCTCATACATACGGCTGGTGATTTTCCAGTTGCTACATTCGTCAATGTGATGACATAACGGCGAACGCACACTGGAAACTTGGACAGTCAACAACAAACTTATTTATTCCACGGTCCCTTGGAAATTGGAATAATATTTTACGTAAATTTTTTTGTCGAGATTGTATTTTACTGTCATTATTTAATTATTTCTACATCTCTGGAAGTAGTCATATTGTGATTATCCAATCCTCTTCCATAATAGTGACGACTGCCAAGCGTTCAGTTCGTTTTCTGTGTGGGTAGTTTTCTGTCCCGATTCTCCTGGTGCGTCTACTGAACAGGTTTTATCCCCTGGTTGTATTATTAATAATAATATTAACGATTATTAAGACAGTGATCTTCTCTGTTTATTAGTTATCTCTGGTCAGAATGGAGGCTGTGATTGATGAGACGATTGATCCCGAGGAATTGAAGGTGGGTACTGGGTCCTTCGCTTTGCGACGCTGATGACGCTTCAGGTTGTTCTGTGATGAAAATACATGTTTCTAAAATGGTGGTGGTGTGTAGTTGCACGGACAGAAGTACGACAAGGAGGTGGCCAACGGGAAGGTGGAGTACAACACGGCGTTTGATTACGGCTGGTGTCTGGTGCGCAGTCGCAAGCAGGAGGATGTTATGCGCGGGATCGAGATCTTCAAATGTGAGTCAACTGTTAATCAGCGAAAATCCATTCTTTGCTTAGGTTTCATGAGCGTTGTGTCAGAGGTACTTTTGATTGTTTCCATTATATAAGTGACTATTTCGTCGATTGTGGAACTGTTCCGAAGAGTGATGGAGTTTTTTTTGTCGATAATTTAATTTGATAGAAAATCCGTGGATTTAATTTTAAACTGCTGTGGTTGGTGGCTACGTGATAATTGCCAATTTTAAAAAAAAATACATGTACCTTCAATTTAAATTATAAAAATTTACTGTTGTAAATTTCTCGTAAGCTGAGGAACTGAAGAAATAAATTATCAATTTGAATTGAGTAAGTGTCTTGCGATTATTTACGTTATTTTTAAACTCTGTTATTTAAGTCCATTTTTCAGTTTGATTTGCGTTGGTGAAATAATTACCGGTTTTGTTTGTAATTATTCTCAATGAAGAAACGTTTTTGCAAATTAAGAAAACGTAATTAAAAAATTGCTTGATTTAAAATTAGCAGAAATTTACAAATGTATTGACGTGATAAATTCAGCATTTTCTTTTCCGATTGATTTATGTTGGTGAATTAATTCCACGTGTTTTTTTCTGTTGAACAGATCTGTACAAAAATGGCGAGCAGGCTGGTCGGCGTGATTGTCTCTTCTTCACCGCCGTCGGTTACACCAAGATCCGCGTAAGTTGTGCTAGAAAGATCACTACATTTCACTGGAGCTTTCGTAGTGCAGGGCTATAGCGCTGGCCGGACGCCTGGGTAGTTTTGTCCGTCGTTCAACTGAAATCATATGTTCTTGAACGTAATATGAACCAAAATTTTTTTCTTGCTAGAAATTTATAGCAGCTTCTTGGTTGTCATTTCACACAATGAATCCTGTATATTAAGTACTGTGATAAAGTGCAAAGTTTTACTAGAAATTTCCACCAGGAAAAATAAGTATTCCCATATTAAGTCCAGATAATCATTCAGTTCCCGAAAATATGAAATAAAGCTTAAAAAAATGAAAAGGAAGACTAAAATGAAAGTTCTGATTCTGTTGATTGTATTTTTAGGATTTGGTGTTTTTTATTCATTTAGTGGGATATTCCTTTAAAATTAATATAATCGCTGATTTAAATACGTACAAAATTTGTGATTAATTTTCTGTTGATTGGTTGCTTGTGCTCTCGCATAGGAATTCGAGTTGGCCCTGGAGTGCATCGACACCCTGCTGAAGGCCGAGCCCGGCAACATGCAGGCCAAGGATCTCAAGCGGGTCATCGAGGATCGCCTGAAAAAGAGTGAGTGTCCGGGAAATTTTATTTCGTATTTTCTTTGAGTATTTATGATTATGATTTTCAGTGGGCACTTTATCGAAAAATAGTCGAAATCCTCCTTGTATTTTTTGTAATTTTTTCTCACTTAGAAATCCGGTAATTTCATTTTTGAAAGAAAATTCAGGAAAAATTGCATGCAGGCCAGTTCATAATTTTTTATTATTTTTCTGGTAGTAAAATGCACATTTATTTTAACAATCCCCATAAAACTATGAAAATAAATTGGGGTTTCTGTATAAAATAAATTGTAATAAAATCGCGTCTATGCCCGAGTTCATCAACATGGAACCAAAATCCTCTGTGCAATAAAAACTAACGAAAAATTTTAATACAAATTTTATTTGTGATTTTAATTCAAGAACTAATTGAGTTTAATTTCTCATTTAAAGAAGAATATCTGTTTAATGTTTTTAAAAAATCAAAAATAATTATTGTGTACGATGTTGCAGTCACACGGTACTCTTTTTTGCCGCAGTAAAATGAAAATTTATTATCAAGCGCTCGATAGAGTGGAACAAAAAGCTCGGAATTTTAATAAAAAAGGCATCTAAAGCTGTAAAATAAAAAAAATAATATTACAAAATTAATTTTGTTTTCTTCCGCAGGTGGCCTCATCGGGATGGGATTGGTGGCGTTGGGCGGGGCCACGGTGTTGGGGGCGATGGGCCTCGTGGCGCTGCTGGCCAAGAAGAAATAACTGGTCGATTTTACACAACAGAGGAATTTTGCGGATTTTTTTCTGCTGCGTGATAACTGTGCTGGCCTCATTCCTCAACGATGGCGTTTTAATCATAATAAATGTTTATTAAATCCGCCATTTGTCTGCCCGTTGTCTGCGTCGCTTTTAATTGGTTTTTCGTCAATTATGTATGACGTCGGATTGCATGAGCTTTCCTGTCAATCACAAATAGTGCTTTAGCGTTTTTGATCACGGAGTTTCGAATAAAAATGCCCTGCAGCACCTCGTTCGTACTGCACAACATACACACACTGAGCGTCACGCAGTAAATTCCCCAAAATGTGATATGAAAAATCAAATTAGTACAATTTTCCGTCCAGTCGTCGTCCACAAAATTCACCCTGTAATTAATAAATTTTCTTAATTAAATTTTAAATTAATTATTTTTTGGGAAGTCGGAATTACTACTTACGCCAGCGAAGAATTTGTCTCAACATTTTCTAAGGTCAATTCGCGTCTCCACTGTCTGTGGCAGCGGGTCTATAAAAAGAAAAATCCACACCAAATCACAAACAAGTACCAACATAAAAAATTAATTTTAAAAATATTCACATTAAAAATCCAATTAAAACTGAATTATTCCAAGATAATTCATAATTACAATGTTTAATTTTAACTGACAGCAACTGAATTTAAATTAAAAAAGGATGAAATCGGAATTTTGTTAAATCAGGAAACTGATGTAATTAAAAGCCTTTACAAAACATTTAAATAATATAATTTTACGGCGGATGACATTGACTTTCTAATGTTACATCAGTAGGACATCAAGACTTAAAATTAAAATTTTAAAAATTAAAATTTTAGGGTACTTAACATTAAAATTAAAATTTTAGGGTAATTCATAATTTCATATTAATTTAGATTCATCGCAATTTTCCTGGCCTTCTGTTGTAAAGGTATATTAATTTTTAGTAGAAAATCATTTTGATTCGAAGAACTATTTAAATCAAAAACTGTTTCAAAATAATTCAAACCATTAAATGCTAGGGATTAATTAATGTAATCTGAGGGAATTGCACGTAAAATCAATTACGTTGTTCACTGGAGATCGGACTTCCGGTAGACCCAGACGGTGTCCACGCCGGAACCGAAGGTGCGGACGGCGCGACACTGCGGCAGCGGGAAACGGCAGGCGATGAACAGCGCTTCATCCCGCATCTCCCGCTGCAGTTTCTCCCGGATCGGCTCCATCATCCCGTCCACGCCGAACAACACGATCACGTCGTAGGACGACACATCCGTCTAACACACCGGCAAATACGACAATTATTTGTTAATTAAGTTATCCAAAATCACGTCAAGAAAAAAAATTAAAAATAATTTTCATGTAAATAAATCGGTAGATTCAAAACATTTATCAATTAAAAAAAATGTATCAATTTATCAATTCAAAAAATTTATCAAAAAAAATTTATCAATTTTTTTTAATGAAATAACGGGCACAAGCTGAAGAGCAAAAATCAAGTTATTGCCAAATTAATAAAGAAAAATCCCCAATTGGAGTAAACTGCAAATTAAAATGACTTCCTGCAAATTTAAAAATAAAAAAATTATTTACCATTTTTTAACGAAATAACTGACATTAGGCGCTCAAACCTGTTTTACGTAAATGACTGAAAAAATGATAATTTTAATTTTGCAGTCACGACTCCGCAGCAAGCACTTATGAAAGGAACGCACGAATCCTATCATTTGGGATGTGCCGTATCGTTGTCACTCACTTGAACCCACTACACTACGAAATTCTCCACATTACTAGTACGGCGCGACTGGCAATTTGCTGCAGTACAACGGTATGCGAATTAAGCGTAGTCAACGGCATTTTTTTAGGGCAAAGCATTTCAGATTAAATTGGAATATTTGAAAAAATGCTTCAAAATATTTTTAACAAATTATTTTTATTTTTCATTCCTTTTTTTTAAAATAATTTATTTACTCAGGTCAACTTAGTTTCAAGATAATTGCCAGAAATTATTTCGATGCCAAGACTGAAATTAACATTTTAGCACAGAAAAATTTTCACAATAAATTATTTCCCGATCAACGTCAGTCGCTAAAATTATTAGATAAAAATCTGAAAAACAATTCCGGGGTGGAAATGGAAGCTGTACCTTGAAAATATCCCGAATATAAAAATCAGCGCGTTTCCGCAGTGCAGCGCCTTCCTTGAGCAGTAGGAAACGACTCCACACCACCAACCACCAATTTAATTCCACGCCTAAATATTGCGTAACAATCATACAAAATTATCCAAATCGTAATAACGGCGCAAATATTTCTGTCGATTTTTCCGTTACGAAAAAATCGATTTTACCTGTTGCTTGCATTCCGTGCTGTGCCGCCGCTAACACCTTAGAAAAATAAATTCACAATAAGCAAAAAAATGCTCCAGCTCAAGAGAAACCTTTTTTCATGGCAACGCAAACCAGAAAAAATAAGAAAACTAAACGCGACATAATACGGCATAAAAATTCAAAACGAGCCTATTTAAATCAATTTTTATGTGAATTATTGGCCATAAATTACAATTTTAAAAAATATATACTGCGAATCATTAACTTTTAAAAAACCACTAAAGCTTTAGTAGATAATTGTATATACTTTTAAAAATTTTTTTAGATTTATTTATCAACAGATTTTTTTTATTTACAGTTTTCTTTATAAAAATCGTAAACACGGAAAAAATGTGAAAATTAAATTAAATTCTTTACCAGTTGATAAAACTGATTTATTTCGCCATCAAAATCACGGAGAACGTGTCCAGAAAGGTGCAGAAATTACTACACTTATTATTAAATTATTAGTAAATAAAAACTACGGAAAAGCAGTAAAAATTGCTTATTAAACTATTAAACGTACCAGTCGCCCGTCACCGGAACCGAGATCGATCAGTTTCTTCCCAGCGATCCACGCCGCATTTTCCTCCGCGTCGCCATGCACCTCCCGCGGGCGTTGCGCGAACTGCATTTTCTGGGGATTAATACTGGCTACATCAGCACTGATTCGGTTGGCCGTGGCACTGGACAGCAACGGCGGACGATATCCCGACAGGAACTGGAAGATAGCCTGCACCTGGGTGCTGGTGGCGGGGAGGTACGGCAGCGCCACCCGGCGGAATCCGGGGGCGACGAAGGGGACGAGGAGCGCCGAGAGGCCCAGGGTCCCCGCCACACACGAGCCGATCACCAGGGTGCGGAGGCGGCGCGGGTCGGAGCGCGGCGAAAATGTGGAAGAGGAGATGCCGAGTTCGCTGAGGAATTCAAGATCGGCCGCTGAGGGTTGCGGGCTGGGCTGTAGGGCGGTTGGCGTGCTGACTGCAGGCATCATGGTGCCACTGCCGTTACAATGATAAGGCAGGCATTAAGGGTAGCCCGACGCACAATAAATTACAGTGTAAAACGATCGATAAAGATGTCTAAAGGTACACCTTTAAAAATCGACGAGAAGATCAATGAATATAATATTCAAACTGCCGCTGACTACTGAAAATGAGGCGAGACCGCGCCGCAATGGCAAACTACGGCGGGTGGCACGGTGTCGGTGGATACATATTGTTACGGTTTCCCGTTTCCGGTACATATAACACGTATCCGGTAGGCGGTACGTATGTACATCCGGTACTTTTTAATAGCGCAAATTACAGAAGAACACAATATTAAGAGGAAGTGCTTTAGTATTTTATCGTTAGTTTTGTATATTAATACTCGTACTGTCGTACACGTGTTGGGGTCACGCTAGCGCGCGACCAGTTGCTTTTTAGATGTCGAAATATCATCAAATTAAGAGTCGAAATAAAATTTTATTTCGATTATGCACTTTCTATACTTCGATATCATCCGTAAATTGGTCAAAAATAACGTTTTCCGGTAGAAAGAAAATTATCCTTTTTCTAATGGAGTGTTTTCATCGAATACCTATCGGTATAAATATGCATACTTCTATGATAATGGACCGGGCCAAATCCCTTAATTGTTAGACATTATTACTTGATGCCAACTGGCGCTATTGAAGACGTTCGGACTGCGCATAGATACATGCGTACGTAGTTGAACTGAATTTAATTAATTTTTAATGTGGACACTCCGATGTGACGCATAAATAACGACACAAGACTCGAAACCTCGTGGCCCTATTGTAGCATTTATTCACAACATTTATGGACAATAAAGACAATCACAACAATGATAACAGGCAATCTAACAATACGCCAAAGCGCAGCAAAAAAATCGCAAAATGTAGGCCCCATAATAATCTCAGGCTGTGGCCCGAGTTCGAACGACATTCTCAGATACTCGTCTACACTTTCCGCGGGAACTTCCACACCAACTCCGTTTACTCTTTTTAACCCTGGTATTTTTCTTAGTTCCAATTTTGGCGGATTATTCAGGATGTAGGACGTCAGTTTGTGCTTCATATCCACAATACAACTGTTGCCGCAAGCCGTGCATTTTTTTTCGATCGTGTTCTTTTTCGGGTATACTTGCTACAGAACCAAAGGATTAGGTGCATTACTGCATTCTATACAATATACTCGTAGTCTGAATTTACGAGTATGTCGTCATACCAACGCGGTCGTGGGATTATTGCAGTTCTGACACAAGACGAATTTCGTGATAAACCCATCAAGCACTTCTTGTAGGCGGTGCGCGTCATGTGCGCCTTTGACGATGTAGCGATCGTTCTTCGAGTCGATCATGGCCTGGGCGCCCAATTCACAGCCAAAGTATTCCAGTGGATCTACATTGATAGCACATAGAAAATCCGTGCTGAAATGCTCAATCTATTATCAAATGATCTCGAACAGAAAAATAAATCGCAATAAATAAGGTGACCATCGCGTCAATCATATTCGTAGCAGAAGTCACATTAATTTCAAGCACTCACAGGCTGCTGGTCTATTTAAGGATGCAGCGATTTCTTTCAAGTTTACAACGATAGTTTTCCGGTCTTTTTTGTTTCGACATCGCTCCACCTAACAACACGTAAAGCGAATCAAACTTAATTTACGATTTTTTTTTACATGCTTTATCATTACTGAACTTTATTGACTAGTAGCAGGTTTGTAAATGGGCGAAAAACTATCAAAATTGAATCAAATTCACCTTGGCGACAAGTCGTGGCATCTTGTAACGACAAAACTGGTCGGGATTGCTTCTGTCGATGTTAATGAGCGTCATTTTCGCAGTTGTTTGGATGTTACGTTATGGATGGAAAAAGTGCAACGGGAGTGCAGTGGCTCTTTTTTCTCTGACGCGAATTACTGACACTCACGATCCGGTCCTTGTGGAACGCTGCTTCTCGGTGATCTCACCTGGGTGTGTGGGAATCGGCCCGAAACTCGGACCTTCTTGGTTGATTAAGCCGTTCGGACGTAGGAGCAGCAGTCTCCTGTTGCTGCTGGACGACGGGTGATGAACTTAAGAGGCCTGTGTAATGTGTTGGCAATGGTGTTGTCGCGATCCGAGCATTATTGATATTGAACAACAGAGTACTGTAGCACTTGTGGCCAGAACCGGATGATGACGGAAGCGTTTGCACCGTTACCCAACGGCACGCCGAAATTTTTTGACGAAAACCCGACGCAATCCGCGGGAAAATAACCCTGCAACGCATAAACTCACAACTGGTGCATCATAGGTGTTACTAAAATAACGAAATTAACGACTACGTCACTATTAATCGTTCTTGTCAAAAAAGATCATCGATAATTACAAAGCCCAAATCGTCTGTAATACGAGTAATATTATGGTATAATCAGGGCGCAGACTGCAAAGAAACCGATGACATTATTCAATTCCGTTGAAAGAACGAGAAAATCGTTTTTTACATGTGAATTAAATTTCAAGTGAGTTAGGGGTGCTCTGACTCATGGTGACTGCCATCGAGAGGGGGCATTGACTCGTCCAGCAGCCTACTGATACAGTTATGAATGCCCCATTTTAAAAATATTTATATACGGACGACATTACCTGATTAGGTACGCTCGTATTTCCAGAATAGAATTTCTGGTTATTCTTTAAACTTAATTCTTTAGAATAAGCAATATTTAGAAATATTTAGAAATATTAGAAATATTTAGAAATATTTAGAAATATTTAGAAATATTTAGAAATATTTAAAAATATTTAAAATATTTAGAAATATTTAGAAATATTTAGAAATATTTAGAAATATTTAGAAATATTTAGAAATATTTAGAAATATTTAGAAATATTTAGAATATTTAGAAATATTTAGAAATATTTAGAAATATTTAGAAATATTTAGAAATATTTAGAAATATTTAGAAATATTTAGAAATATTTAGAAATATTTAGAAATATTTAGAAATATTTAGAAATATTTAGAAATTCTGCAGTATAAAAAATTTAAAAATTCTAGAATTGTAAAAGCTTGCGCAGCCGAGTCAGGAAAAGTTTATCGTTATTTTGAGGCATGCGGACGGACTTAAAAGCATAAACGCTTCAGGAATTTGGAAAATTAAAATAATAAGTTTAACGTGTTTGACAACCTCAAATCGCGTTTTTAGAAAAGTTCTGGAAATCAAAAATTTTTTTGAGACTACGGGTAGGAAATTTGGAAATCAGAGGAATGGATCAAAGGAGTGGATGATTCAAAGGCTCTAAATATGTAAATTAGTCACGGTGCCACCTGCGTCGCGTGCCGGAAGTCTTTAAAATTCGTTCCTCTAAAACGTTTAGCTTGGAGATCTTCGTGAAATCTGAGCGCAGCCAAATAGGAAAAACATATTTGCGGAAAAGCACGGAAGATTGGAAGAAATCACTCATAGGCATTTCGGGATACGCGTGATAAAATTTAGATTTTGGCTGATACCTGATCTCAAATCTTTCGTTTTTTTTTGTTATTATCTTAATAGATATACACAATTTGCGTCGTTAAACTGACTAAATCAATAACGATTTGCACGGTACATGTATATGCACCAGGTGTATTGTGCGCAACTGATGCCTTCTGTATATGTACATTAACGAGTAAGTTAAAAGAGTAATATAATGGAGACACCAGCGGACCGGCCCGTTTTATCGCTGATTTAAAGCGCATGACAAGCCGAATATTAAGCAACCCAAATGGTAACAGTGGTAGAACTGTAGAAGTACAGTACCAAAACGATAAAATGCAGCGCGCCGATTATGTACAAATGCAACATCTGTGCACGTCACGTGCGCAACACATTAATCGCTTGTAACGTTGTACAATTAGGCTAATAAGGACAGGCAGCCTCTTAGATAATGGTTAGCATTTTCGAAGGTCACTGCACTGAGAAAGTGCAGGTTCTTGCGACGCTTTTGCTCCCGCACCAAACCGATCCTCCAGGGTCTTCTGTATTTCCAGAAATGATTTTCCTTTAGTTTCTATCAGCAACCGCGATAAAAACACGGCTAGAATCAATGTAATCCCGGTAAAGATCGTAAATGTCCATTCTATCAAATAGGCCTGCATGACGGGGAACACCGCTGTTATCAACGTCGCCAACGCCACATTGACGAGATAGCCCAACGCGGAAGCGGCTTGCCGGGAGTTCATCCCGAACATTTCTGCCGTAAAGAGGAATGGTGCACTGGCCGGACCCAGCGCGTAGCTCACCATGAAGAGAGCCATAGCCAACAGGGTGCCATACTGACACGCGCTGCAGACCGCGTACTTCGTCAACACCGTGAAAATCACCATCGCCGCGGTACATAGTGCGCAGCCGACCAGTCCACCTAAAAGGCGAGTTATCTACTCGTACTCTAGCTCTGAATACGAGGACAGGCTTAGTATTCGCGATCACCTAAAAAACTAGCGAGAATTCGCGATCACCGTGCCCGGGTTGTGCAGAACAGCCAGTCACCTGCCAGCCAGCAAAGGAAGGCAGTCCAGTCCAATGGCTGTGTGGTGTGTCACTGGGCTGCTTTCCCTTGGTGGCTGGCAGGTGACTGGCTGTTCTGCACAACCCGGGCACGGTGATCGTGAATTCTCGCTAGTTTTTTAGGTGATCGCGAATACTAAGCCTGTCCTCATACTCAAAATCTTACTCTAATATTCAAAGTCTGACTCCGACCACTAAAACGCGTGACCCCAAACTTTGACTACAAAAACCGTAACTCTGGCTGCTCGAATTCTGATTTTCTTAGGTTTTTTTAGGCCTCACAGGGTCTTAGGGTTGTTTTTATGTTCGAACGTTCTTAGGTTTCCTAGTTTCTTCTTGGTTTATAGGTTTCTTATAAACTAAGAAGAAACTAGAAAACCTGAAAATAAAACAGGCATGACCTAATAACCGAAGTCCAACCTAAGGACCTCAGAAAAAAATAACTAGGAAGTTCCTAGTTCCTGGTTTTTGGTTATTCTTAGGGTTCCTGGTAGGAACCCTAAGAATAACCAAAAAACTTAAGAACCTGTTTGTATTGGGCGGAATCAAAGTTTTGGTTGTCAGTGTGTTGTGGTCAGAGTCAGACCTTGAGCGTGGGCCCACCTAATAGCATCGGTCGACGTCCAACCATATCCTGCAACGGGGAACTAAACAGAGCCACCACGGCGCACACAGCGGTTAAAATGATGGTTCCGTAGGAGGCTAGCGCCTGTGTCAATCCGCATTGGCGGAACATCTCCGTGGAATAAACGAACACCGCGGAATAGCCGGTGAAGCGTTGCGCGAACATCGCCAGTAAGCAGATGCCTAAAATTTTCCGCAAGAACTCATCACGCAACACATCCAACAGCGACAGCTTTTGACTGCTTAATTTGCGCGCTGATTCAACTTCCTGGTGGAGGACGCGGATATCGGCGTCCACGTTCTGGCGACCCCGCAGACGCTGCAGTTCTTTTTCCAATTTCCCGGTGTCCGGTGTTTTCCTACAGAGCCAGCGCGGACTTTCCGGAAGAAAATGGTAGGCCGCGATAAAAAGGAGGCTGGGCAGGAGAGCGATCCAGCACATATGCTGCCAGGTATCGGGATTGCCGAGTATCGGCGGTAGTCCCATGATATTTGCCACCAGCATCCCCGCACTGAACGATGCCGTGGCCAGAGCGTTCAACGCGCCGCGATGCTTATTGGTGCTGAGTTCCGCTACGTATACGCCGCATAAAACCACACAACCGTTTCCCAGTCCAAAGATGAATCGTCCTGTACATGATGTACACATTATTTTGTAGGGCTTAGGTCATCGGCTTAACAAATTAAAATAAGCAATCATTAATTATCATCAAGCATTAATTTTAGGATCTGCAGGACCTTTTTTGCCAATTATTTTCGCCACAAAAGCGACTGAAAAAAGGCATTTGTTATTATCGTTCGTTTTCACTGCAAGCGCGAAAACCGAATTCCGCTATTATCGTTTTTCGTTGATATGCAGTATGTCTTTCTTTCTTCTAAGACATTGTTACTGAAGTTCACTAAAATAAGCAATCATTAATTAAAATAAGCAATCATTAATTATCATCAAGCATTAATTTTAGGATCTGCAGGATCTTTTTTGCCAATTATTTTCGCCACAAAAGCGACTGAAAAAAAGGCATTTGTTATTATCGTTCGTTTGCACTGCAAGCGCGAAAACCGAATTCCGCTATTATCGTTTTTCGTTGATATGCAGTATGTCTTTCTTTCTTCTAAGACATTGTTACTGAAGTTAACTGAAAAGTCAGTTTCACAACGATGAACGAAGTCAATTAAGAAATGTTCGAGGAGTGTGCAAAAGTCAAAGAGGGTGAAAAAGGGTGACATTAGTCAAAAGAAGGTTAATAAAATTTAAAGAAAATATAAAAAGCGAAATGGCTGCGCGCATCAGTAATAACCTAATCAGCTGATTGTATAGGCCAATTGATGAAATAGCTTTAACTTGCAAAATTTTTACCAATCTTGAGGTGACCTGTTGATTCATCGGCCGTCCCGTCGTCGAACAGACACGATGCCGACCCGTAACGACGCCGAATTAGAGCTAAACCATCTCAGTCTACTGAGTTTCTTAGTTTTCTTAAGTTAAATAGGTTTTTTAACCGTCGATCTCGTGACCGTCGATGTATTGCGGTCGGCATTGTGTCGGTCGACGAAATGTCGGTGACCCCAATCTTGCCTTGATATCTTACCAATGATAAACAATTCGTACGATCTGGTCGTCACGCTACATCCGGCGGCGATGCTGCCCAAGATCTCCAGAACGTTGTACAGCAGCAACGTCCTGCGGAGTCCTAACCCTTCCACCAGATAATTCGTCGCCAACGATCCCAGCGACACCCCCAACATGACCGCACATCCGATCATACTCCATACGGCCGCCAAACGCTCGTTGCCGCGCAGATGGAGGAATGTCTCATTAGCAGGGACAACGGAGCACCACACAACGACATCGCTTTGCGTATCATTCAGCGGCGGTCGATGATCCGTTATGCGCGCGCACTGTATCTCGCGAATCCATTGAATAATCAGGTTCTGTGGAACGTTGACCAGAGCGCTAGTGTAGCCGCCTATGAACCACGACGAGAGCGCCACAATTAAGCAGGCGAAGAAAGTTGTGGCGGTTAAACGGTCACGGACGCTGCCGCCACTGAGTGTTTCTCCCATACTGCAGTTACAACACCAACACCCACAAATAACAAAGTAAGGAAACAACAACAAACAACGGCAAATTAAGGAACTTCTATCTGCGTATACTGCAATATAATGTACAGGTAGCTTAATCAGCGCATTTAACAGCGCATTTGCAATGGTAACACGCTTCGGTAGCACGCACATTGACATATGCAGAAGTTCATTAACAGCTGATTAATGATTCTACTCGCAACTACATTCGGACTTTGCGTTCACACTAGCATACACATGCACAATTTGCCCACAGCGGCTAATGGCCTGTTCGGTAGGAAGTTACGAACCGGATTCAGCTCGTGCCGAACACGATACTAGCCGCTCTTCGGCAAATTGTGGAAGTATTTGTTGAAGTTTACCTCATGAATCGCCACATTTCATAAAAAATTACTTCCTGGTATCCGTACTTGACAAACTTGAAATTCTGGAATTATGCGACTAATGTATAATGTATGGTTTTTTAGAGAAAGTCGAATCGTTAACGCGTTTCTAATCGGATTGAACTTTCTTCCCTCATACGCCAGTTATTGGTAAAATAACGATACGTACTTCAACAGGAAAATTAATGAAAGGAAGTTGGCGTCATATTTACGAGTATGTGCAGCTGCCATATACTCTGTAAAATACTCTGCGAAAGCGAATAGTAGCATTTTAAAACGCTGGACAAGTTTAATTCTGAACGTGCATAGGAGAATTTGCATGCCGGTTATGCTATAAGCGATCAAAGGACGAGCGGTGCTTAGCGTGTTTTCTTGCCGGTATACTATAGCCGCTTTAACGGTTTTTCGTCAGTTTCTGTTGACCAGTTTATTAATTTTCTTGTGCAGTTGTACTCATATGTGCACCTAGCTCGACGTCGCATGAGTTTTTCAAATAGTTGCTGCGAAAACGCGCAGTACTTTCACATTTTTATGTACAGTACCTATAGTCTGTAGAGCTTGCTTAGCTGCTGACAGAGAAGCGGAAAGCCGATTTGAATACCGTACAACTATCGTGATTGCGGACTATGGCTCATAAACAATACGTTTGTATAATTGGTTAATTGGTCGTATTTAAGAGAATTGTGCAGCGTTCCCGTGATCTGGTCATGCAAAGTTAGCAGCCCGATTCCGTTAAGTTTAGTTATTTTATGGCTACTACAGTTGTACCCTCGTCATGCTGCAAAGTTATCGCTCCGGTTCCGGCAACTTTTAATTAATAATTTTTATGACTACTGCAAATTGTAGACGTTAACACAGTGCACACGAAATGTGTACGGTACGCCCATTGGCATTAAGGATGATTGCCCATACTGCTACAGTATCGAGCGGTGATTTCCTCTTAATAAACGCAAGTGCACACTACGCGTGCCAGGATATCCAGGAAACTTCAGTAATAAAATTATTGTAACGGCTCCAGTTTTCGTCTGCACCCACTTGTGCTCACCGGACACCTTATAGGTAGTTATGGGGGCAGGGTATAAAAAAGTGGCAGTGTCACCTGACACTGGCAGCTTAGTGACAAGCGATAAAACGTGACAGTTGCCGTAATTGCCAGTACAGTCTATATCTCTTAACCTTAGGAGATTCTGATCGCGCCCGATCATTTCGGTGGCGTTTATTTTGGATAGCACGGGATCACTTCGGCCAGTGCTCACTGTGACCAGCATTCAATTCGACCGCCGCTTATATCGGCAAATGGCAATTGGACATGTCGTCTGGTGCCGTTGTGTCACAAAGTTCTAACTTTAGTAATGTTTCATGGGAAGTGCATGAAGGTAACAAATGACGTTGTGCAAAAGTCCGAGGAACACTATCGACTGTATAAAATTGTAAATTCTGAATTTTTGCATTTTCATGAATACGTGGATGATCGGAGGCTTGACACGTACAGTAAACGAGAGCGGTTGTTGAAAAATGTCGAAGTGCAAGGAAGGGACACTTTAGTAAACTTTTCTATTAACATGATTACGGTAAATTCATAGTCACACTTTTACTATCAGTGACTGTTGAATCACACTGCCGGTTGCTTACGAGTTACAAGTAAGTACAATGATTACACGTTTCCCATAAATAATAAATTACAATGTAGGCTGTGCACGGTTGTAACCGTCCCAAACGACCGGTCGTCTGAGACGACCGCCGGTCGTTTCAGCCTCTAAACCGTCCGAAACGACCGGGCGCCAAAACGACCGCCGTAAATTTTGCCCTACCAGTTTTTTTCGCTCTTTCAGTCGCGAACAAAACGAATGAATGTAATTAATTTTCGTATCCGGTCGTTTCTGCCGGCGTGTAATTTCGTATCCGGTCGTTATACGTTATACGAATACGGTCGTTATACGAATACGAATACGATACGAAATCACACTCCGGCAGAATCGACCGGACACAAGAATTACACTCCGGCAGGAACGACCGGACACGAAATTAAAAAAAAACTGATAGGGCAAAATTTACGGCGGTCGTTTTGGCGGCCCCCGGTCGTTTCGGACGGTTTAGAGGCTGAAACGACCGGCGGTCGTCTCAGACGACCGGTCGTTTGGGACGGTTACACACGGTGTTATACACTTTTAACTGGATTTCCAAACATCGGGCACTCACCACCGCGACAAAATGCACCATTGTGGCAACTGTACAATACAAAATTAACAGAAACGTGCTAGCAATATGATTAATAAAGCATTATCACTGCCACAACTGAAATTCTGCATAGCAGTCTTACAGTGTAGCGAGGTGAATGACCAACGCGCCATATATCACTGGTAGCTTTATCGCACTGTCGTATTCCGGAATTAATGATGCCGGCATTGCTTTGTTATAACGAACTAGTTAAGCAGCTTACAACATTAATTTTTTACGGTTATTACGATAGTGCGATTTCCTATGAATGGCACTCTACTTGTGGAGCGGAACTATGAGTGGAATTCGACATTTACGGACGGAGCAGGATAATATATAGTAACAAAATATATAAAATGCAGTGCTGCACTCACTGTTTTCATGAGCGGTTGGAAAGGTCGCCTTTTCGTTCCGCAGCCATCTTGGCTGTACCCAACTTGTTCCTGGGAATATTTAGCAGTGCTGACGCAATGACGAATTGGGGTACGTCCTATGATATGCCATTACCGCGAACAAATGATTTCTAAAATTATCTCAAAACAGATCTGCATTTTTCTAAATAAAAATGGATTCTTCTTATAAAGTTTTTTTATTGTTGCCGTACTTGTGACTGTGAAGGTTAACTGAGTAGCGGTCAGATACGCTGAAGTTTATATATATATATATATATATATATATATATATATATATATATATATATATATATATATATATATATATATATATATATATATATATATATATATATATATATATATATATATATATATATATATATATATATATATATATATATATATATAATTCTATATATATAATTCCATGTATGTTGGAATACAATTATTCAGATACAGCCCCACGATCAGTAAAAAGTCTACGCTGCTGTCTAAAATAAAGTTTACTGCTAGAAGTCCTTTTAAGCGCTTTGATAACTGGTATGTGTAGTACTTATGGTAATCTGGGGTATTTTCTTGCACTTTGTCAAGCTCAGAAAGCAAAGATTATGATTAAATAAGTGTGGATTCTAGTCCTCATTTTGCACACGGGCGCCTAGAATTAGTTTGTCACGGGAATTCGATTTTGTAACTGCCGGTGATGCTTTGAATATCAAATATGCAGCAATAACAGCTGTTAACGAAAAAACGCAGTTCCAGAAATAACTTTGCAGGGAAAAAATAAAAGGTTGTGCACGGAATGAAAGGTAGCGCAAAAAGGTTGTGTACGGAGTAAAAGGTAGTGAAAGGGTGTGTACGGAGTGGTCACCTTTACTTAAATTTAGTGGCGGGAGGAGACATCCGACTGACAGCTACTGTCCATGCAGCGTGGCTCGTCCTCACCAGTGTCGTTGGAATCTGTGGCCGTGTTTTTGCTCAGAAGGCAGGTTCTCGACAAACCTTCTCCGACCAACACGTTAGTGCCGGCCTATGATTTCTCAAAACCTACATCGTCTGTATGGCTATTAGCATCTTGTTAGCGGTGGGCATGGTTATTCATGGCGCACTCGCCATAACCTGGCACCAGTATTTGGATTTCGGTTGTGTCTTCAATGCTGGCGGGCCTTGGGCCATCGTCTTTGGCGCGCTTTCCGTGGCGATGAACCTCATACTGATAGTGCGAGCCATCAATATTATCAAGAGATGGACGTCCGAGGGTGTCTGTCGCTCCCGTTGAATCGATCCTGGTTCCTCCTCAAACGATCTCTGTTGGAGACTTTCATCCGACGGCTACAAGACAAGCCATGCTAGCCGAGATAACGCCGCTGGATGGCTATCTTCATGTAACGGCTTAAATCCGCATTCGATAGGCTTGACCCATTACCACCGGCATTGGAATGATCGGTTGAATTCTGAAATTATTCCACCAATTAGCGGATTTGTAGCCCCGAGCCACGAGGAAAGACATATTACACCGAAACCATTATATGCGCATTCCGAACCTGTAAAATACTAAGTAATGCATTCAAAGTGGCAATGCTGGCGAGTGAGATAGTAATACGCTATGCGTAGACTGCGCGTATTACATACGTACGTACGGTGACGTACGCATTAGCGAATTTTAGATTTCACAAAACAAGTTCCGTCCAGTTCGACTTGCGGGTAGAAGTTGGCGTTACGGGTCGATTTACGTCCGTTCGCGACGTAAGGCGCCGTAACCTAACGTCGTTGGCTGACGCGTAAAAACTATCTGCCTTGCGTGGATCTGTGCAACGGCTCAGCCGTATGGCTGAGGCACAAGCCAGCGCATGCTGCCTGTGGATCTTTTTTATGTGCTCTAACCGCCTCCCCGAGAGCAGGTTGGTCACGCTCTGGGCACTCTCGACTCGATTTATTTTTCAGCTGTACGTTACTGCAAGTGTGCATCCGTACAAGCATTTTAAACGCTATTCAATCTGGTAACGTACTGTTTATGTGACGCAGTAGTTTCTAGTGGACGGAGCCTGAACCATGTGAAATCTAAAATTCCCTATTGTCTGTTAGGTTACGTACGACTTGCTGTTACTATCTGAGCGATATGATCACTAATTCTATCAGCGCTTCTTGTTAAAATGAGTCTGGAGTTTCTAACTCTTCAACTAAATCTGTGAGCTTGTTTCTAGCTGAAAGGTCGGTGTGACTTTAGGTTAGAAGGAAGTTCATGTTCTGTTCTGTTCTGTTTGCATCGTTCGTTCAGTTTGGTGATTAAACATGTGGGAAGTTTCCGAGTGTTTCGGTTTCGGTAACTTTCGTTTGGCCCGGCATTCCGCTTTTACCTAGCGGAAGCAGGTAGTTGGTGTACCACTTACGGAGTCCAGAGCCCATTCCCACTCTACCGATTGAGTAGGTTTGGTCATCTGTGCGGTTGTCGCGGTGCGACTTCCGCATAGCATGTCAATATTTTTGTTCCCCGCTGTTTTATGGCTTTGGGTTTGTCGCTCACATTTTGATCCATCCCTCTGCTGCATTGTCCTGTTCCATTGTCGAATGGAAGTATGTATCAGCGGTGCGGCAATAAATAATTACAAAAGTAATATTGCTAAAATCAGTAAAACGTATGGAAAATTAGTTAATTATACGTCATTAACATACGTTATTTGAAAATTATTTTTTGATTTCCCAATCAGTGTGGCGTGGCGCGCTTTTATAATGTTGTAACTGCTCAAGTCATCACTTAAGTTTGGATCTAACTGGGTCATCAGTTTTTGCTAATAAGGGTCACCTGTTTACAAAACGGGCGTGCATTTATCATGGTGTGCGGATTATAAACCGGCGCTAATGATCCTCACGTTACTGTACTTCAACCTTCTTTTTTTTTGTCCAATCAGCACCTTTCGCTGCTACGTGCGCACCACGGTACAGAGCGGATGCAGTCCCGATAACACGGACAGCACTTACGCGCAAGATTGTGCTCCTGTGGACGACAATTACGACTTCACGTCGTTCTGCATCAAAACCGAAATCCCCGGTACGCATACCGTATACTCTGTACCATCAGCGAATTGATTATCATATTATATCAGCTGAATATGAATATTATTCTCGCGATTAAACCGGAGGTGATTTTTGTCAATTTTTTTAGGCTACATCACGGTGCGCGGAACTTCGCATAAGTGTCGGCACTACGAAGCCTGAGTGCCCCAGCGGGGAGCGTCGCACCACCTGAAACAAAAAGCTGCTGGTACAGAATAATATCTATTAAGCATAATGGTTTGTGTCCTTGTTTTTGGCCTGATGTTCGCGTTATATTTTCAGATGTTCGTCAATATACAATATATTCGGTGCTCTGAGGTGCTTTTTACATGTTCACCGAGCATTTATGTAACCAGAGCCCATCAGCTTACCGACCGGGTCGCCGTTGGCCAACGCTCTCCTGATTCTGCTGTTAGTAGTGAAATTACAAGACCTGTTTCACTTAGTTCAATGATCGTTTGGGATCTTCTGCATACAAAATTATAATACAGAATAATGTTTTTGTTTAATAAGTGCCATCTGTCGAAAATTGTGCATCGCTCTTTCGCTCCGAAACACTGTACTGTACATCGACAGCGATTTGCTGATTATTCTTGATAAGACGAGCACGTTTGTCATTATAACAGCGAATCTGTATAAAACTGGCACCACTGAGTTATACGGAGAGGAGCGAAATCTTGGTCCAGATTATTTCCAATTAATTTCCAAATAACTTTAAAGATTAAACTGTTAATATCTAGTTATTTTAAGTGGGTTTTTGGTTTTATGCATAGACCCCAGCGCGATCGCCTACCCTCCCACGCCCAGTTATTTTAGATCAGTATATACTCGCAACCGTAAGTTTTCATACAGTTGGCATGCGTGCCTGCATATTTCAACGTATAATGTAGTAGGGACACAAAGATGCAATAAAGGCTTTGTTTTTCTATGGTTTTTTTATAACCAGGGCCGTCCAGCCTATAACAGTATCGGTGATCGACACCCGCACTAAATTCCGCAGCGGAATTTGTTTCCAAGAAGTCTGCCATAATGTTTAAAACCTTACTAACTAATACTTCGTCAATGACCCTCGTCGGAAAGCTAAGAAATGTTACAAATTAAAAACATCTAAGAGCGCAAAACAATCTCAAGTAAACGAAAAAATGGCATGAAAAAACCTAAAACAAACATGTAATAATTTAAGAAATCTGAGAAAAAATCGAATGTTTATGCACCATGCGTCAGAATTCGGTTTTATTACTGACATTTCTTCTCCGGATTTGGTGTGAGGGTTTTGAGATTTTTGGTAAGTAGTAAGTACTCTATATGCTTGTATTTTATAGTGGTAAGTACTAAGTATGATCTTTTGTTTAGTCCTATCTTTAATAACACAGTAATCCACCGTTCGGTATACGACGGTATGTATGTAGAACACTCATAATGCACATAAAACATATACCGTAATTATCGAATTTGTGGCCCTGGGGTGCAAATAGTTCGAAGGTCATGGCGGAGGGGGGCTTATTTCGGGGAGGGGGCGTAATTTCGGGGGTGGCATTATTTTTCAAACGGGATCGGGGAGGGGGCTTATTTCAGGGGGGGGGCTCTTATTGCGGGGGGAGCCGCAAATTCGATAATTACGGTACATGTACTGATGTACATAAAAACTGCGCGTCCACGTTTGCACACAATTTGGCAAGTACATTAACGCTCGTTTATTGGCAAGAAAAATTATTGACACGCATCACAAATTCTTCGATAGGAATAGAGTAATTCGCAGTTTTAGCATTTACCAAACTAAAAGAGACGGCTTTTTTGGGAAATTTTCTTGAGACAGGAAAGCCGCTTATAAGAAAACATAAGAAAACGTAAGAAAACATAAAAACGACTGCCGCGCCGCTGATAATGAGGAAGTGTCGATGCCGGATTCTCGTAAATTTATGAAATAAACCACACCTTCATCCGCTAAATTTACACTTGGTATAGCCGAATCCCCGAGGATTTCCGTCTATTTCGATGCCGGTAAGTGAATTAACAGCGCTACTTTTTTCCTCCTCTTCCCGATAATAACATCCACGTATCCGGTTACACCGGGCGTAATTAGATTAATCGGTTAATTTTTTGCACAGCGCAGCATGTGGCGGATGTTGTGGCGCAGGGTGCGCAGTGTCAGCGCAAAGAGCAGCGGATCGACCACCGGCTGGTAGAAGAACATTAAATTAATGACGAACTCAATGTCGGGATTCGTGTAGTTAGTGAAGGGCTGTAGGAAGAAGTAGATAACGCTCGGCGTCCAGAACACCAGCACGCTCAATGTCAACGCGGTTAAAAGGAGGAATGATTGCGCTTCGGTTGAAGATGCCGGGCGATGGGAGTGGCTAATCGCTTGCGACACGGATGCAATATTCGCGATGGAGGGATTCTTCACGTTGTGTGAGGAGAGCGGCGTCGGTTGGATTTGTCCGGATACCAGTCGGCAGCACAATCCAATCTACGTATCACAGATAAATTAATCATCATCGGTTAAATCACTCTTTACTATGGAGTAACGTGTCCGGGTTTGCGTTTCTTTGTTATTAATAATTTTTATTGATTACCTAATCACCGTACGCTTTACGACAGTTCAGTGAATTATTGGCACTTGCCAAAAACATGATTAACAAATCGGAATACGTATTTCCGATACCAGGGACAAGTGATTCATAAATCTGAATACTTAATTTCGTTATAATGGATAAGTGGTTAATAAAACTGAATAATTTATGAACAAGTGACCAATGCACGTGCTTAAGGGTACTTATAAATCTAGGTATATTATATTCTGATATGATTATTATATTTTATATTGTATTATATCTAATATGATTATTAATGCGATTATTATATTTTCTGCCTATATAATTATTATATATATATATATATATATATATATATATACGTATATGTATATATAATTATTAATTGCCAAATGCAAACGATCAAATTTATTCCCGGATAATAATTTTTTAACATTACTATTTATCAAACACATTTTTGCTAAAGATTAGCTCTATAATAGATTCGCTCTACATTTTTACTAAAGGTTAGCCATTCCTGAAATGGAACTACTTTGTAAACCAAAATCGAATCAAAACGTACGCTTGGAAAAAATGAATTTTTGAAATTGGTTTCGCGAATATTTTTCCTGTAAAACTCAAAGAAATTAAATTAACTATATTGCTATTTGGGACAATTATTCCGTTGTATTTTATTGACTCGGTGTAAATTTTATCAGTTTCTTAATGTATAAGCCATAATGTACAACACTTGTTTTGTTGCGAAATAATTTGGTTTAATCGCTGAAGATGTTAAACGTTTGAAATTCCGATTCTACCTAGAAAAAAAGGATCTTTTCTTAAGTTTTTAATAAATTAATACTTATTCTTTGTGTAATCTTTCCAATATTTTATTTTGCTTCATTATAATTGTTCAGTTGTCCAAGCTATTACTTTATTAATTACTTTAGTACCCACCTTGTTTCGCTGACTCTGCTTGATCCAGATCAGCGGAAACGCACCCAACACTCCAAACAGGCAAATTACACTCAGCAGCTGCACCAGCACCAGCCACGCCCTCTGTCCTGGAATCCCGGTCACATCCGTCCAACACCCGTACTCCGCTTCCGGCTTTCGATAAAACAGCGCGTCCATCACAACCCCCGGCAGGGCGACCACGTGCGCCAGCGCCCAGGTGACGCCACAACACAGAAACGCCGTGGTGAAGTTGTGCCGTCGCCGGAAGGACAGCGGCCGCCACAGCGCCCACACCCGGTTGCCGGCGATCAAGAGGTGTGTGCTCATCTGCACCAGGGATAACACCCAGATCCCGTACAGATACACCGTGCAGCTGGCCCGGCTGAGGACCCACTTGGCGTCCGGGTAGAGTTTGGAGGAGAAATCGAAGGGCCCGGTGAGGGCGCAGAAAACCACGTTGGATAAAAGGAGGTTGGTGAGGTACACGTCGAAGGCCAGCCAGGTGTGGGAGCGCGGCAGGAAGCTGAGGAGGAGGAGGAGATTGAGGAGCAGGGAGAAGATGCAGCAGGAGAGGGAGTTGATGGCCGACCAGTTCCAGTCGGGGGTGAGGTTAACGGTGGTGTTGGTGTGGTCTGTGGCGTTCATGTTGCGTGCATCTACTCGCTACCGAATCAACAACGTGCCCACGTTGAAAGCCGGCACCGGAGGCTATACCACGATGAAGCGTCGGAGAGGAATTAATAATTCATGGCGGATGGCGACATAGATAAGTAGCCGATATGGCTGTGGACCTGTGGTCAATGGCCAGTGCCGATATCCTAAATCAATACAGCCGCATTCGAATCTACGACGTATCGAAGTTGAAAGCCGGCAATGCGCCAATTGCACGATGAGGAGCCGAGCAAATACTCGTATTTATAACTAGCGCGGATACATGTATGTAACGTTAACGCCGTTGCTGCTGATGCGATCACTGGTCAGTACCGCGCGCGGTATCCTGGGTAAATACTCGCCACCGAATCTGCAATGTATCCACGCTTAAAAACCGGCAACGCGCATACTAGTATGCTCGAGAAAATCCCAGGCAAGCAGCATTTCACGTCAACCTCGTTAAAAGAAATTAACATGATCTGCGCAGCGTTGTGTATTCGGCGTCCGCTTGGCCAGTGTTGTCATCCGGTATAGAGGGGGCAAAAGCAGGCATCTTCCACCGTTCCCCTGTACTGCTGCCGTCACCCAGCTGGAGTCTGACGTTGTGCCTGAACATGGCGCTTAGGTACCGCCCCAGATTTAACCATATGTATTGCCGTAATGTCACACTCCAGGCGGGTGACGGCAGCAGTACAGGGGAACGGTGGAACGCGTTTACTTTCGCCCCTTATAATCAGCTCGCCACCGAACCCACAATGTCCCATGTTGAAAGCCGGCAAAATGTCTAATACACGAACAACAGCCGAGCAAAAACAGCTCCGTACGACGTATATATAATTTATACGTACGACGTATATATAATTTATGGTTCTGCGTAGCGGTGTAACCGAGGTACAGTGTATCCCATCCCTGGATGCGGCTGGTGAAAGCGGAAGTGATCCTCTTTCGCCAAATAAGTTTGCTACGTGAACTGGATACACCGGCCGTGATTGGCATATAAAAGTTGTGCGTGGCTCGTACACAACAGCGGCGGGACGATTAGGAGCGGTCCCTGTGCGGCGCGAGTGTTTTTGTTTCTTCCCGGTAAAATGATCGAATCGGGGTTGATTGGCGTCCGAGGAATACGCAGCGTTCACCCGGTATATACACGTATTATTCAATAAGTGTCATGTTGATCCTGACACGAGCGTGTTGTTACACAACACGTCGTTATATTTCCACAACAGTATGTATGCCTGTACAGACACTAGGATGGCACTTTTTTATGGTAATCTGCTTATGGGAACAGGTGACGTAAATTCGGCGTAATTGCCGGCTCTGTTGTGCGGAAGTTCTTCCTGTTGTGTGCAGCCAGATACCGGCTGATAAAGAGCAATGATGGGAAAATACTGTAACTGCGCATTGGCGGGCTGGAAATTACTCTCGTCCACTATACATTTTTTATGACTAACAATTAAAACATCCATGAACAGATTCAGTTGCTTGTATCAGTTATATGTACTCTGTACGAAGCTCTAATTATAGACATTTTAATCGTCGATAATGGCGCAACCATCCATAACGCAGTACGGCGACCGGCAGCTAGGCAGGGCGGTGAAATGATTTTCAGTTAGATGATTTAATTTGCTTGGAGAACATAGGTTTAAAATCAGTTTCATGCGCAAAATCCGGTCCGGAAGGATTATGGCTATAAGAATTTTCCAACAAGTGTAAATGCATTCAGGTGTACCAAAGGTCTTATTATGGCTCATATTTTGCACATACAGTAACTGCACGTAAGTACGCTTTTACACCGATCCGAGTTTACGCCATTTTTTTCGTATTTCAATAAATTTTCAAAATTCATTAGAAAATGGAACAAAATGCTTAGCAGCGTGGATCAGTGTAAAATCTTTTTTCATGCATATGTGCGTTTAAGTAAAGAGTTGAAGGAGATTAATCACCAAAATAGACCTTCAGTGCATCTGAATGCGTTAAAGGTTTTTTTGATTTCCTTGCCGTCAAAACTCCCGCACTGGATGTTGCGCGCATAAACGGTTTTCACGCTTATCTATGCAAATCATCTGGCTTCAGAATGTCACAGAACAAAGCAAAAAAGTGTTTGGGAGCGCGCAAAAGGGAAAGTTTTTGCGCATGTCTGTATACGAATTTGGTATATACCATGTACCGGGTCATTAATTTTCCCTTAATATTCCTTTACGGAATAACAGTGTCCAGACACTTGCTAACTTTCCCGATTACACATAAAACTCCGCCTAACTAATAAAATTTTTTATATACTGAAATAACTAGAAACACTGGAATCATATAATTTATTAAAAATTAACTAAAATTTAGATTGTTATGTACGGATAAGTACTCGTATATAAAGAAATGGCGTTTTCGTCGAACACGATCCAGTATAAAGGAGGCTGGATACCAAAGATATTTGTTCCAGAACCGAGCCCAAGTCGAAACAGCATGTCCGCTATTCGAGCTGCATTTGCTTGAACTAAATCTTAAAGCATTTCAGACAATAAAAGTAATTCCAAGTAGAAAATTTGAATTAAAATATAAAAATATTATACAATTTGAATACCGCGGAAATCGTGAAGAAAGCGTACACTTGTTTGACTAAATCGTATAAACCTCTGTAAAATATCGGTTAGTACTCAAAGGAAGTGGCCCGGCACATGAAACCAAATTTGTGTGCATGCACGAAAACTTTCATTCTCCCTTATGGTCCAAATCCCGCACTTGGCAGTTGGCACCACTTTTGTACGGTATGAAATGCACTACACTGTAGTACGTAGTTGAATCATTTAAAATTCTAGGATACTCTTCAGTAATCAGATATCGACGACCAACGTGTTTCGCGCCGGTGTGAATAAACGCAAATTCTCAATTCCATTGCCTCACAAGTCATAATCATTAACAAATCACTAAAATTTCTTTGAAAAGAGCAAAGCGAAGTATGGTACTAACACGTCGACATGAGCCCGTCTATCTTCTTATGCACTAGTATGTCCCGGTTGTTCATCGGGTGCCGAGGGAATTTACGTAACGCATTATGCCAATTAATAACCGTAATTCTGTCGTTATTAACCACTTGCGCACTGTTTTTCTGCAGGTTACATATTCTAGCGGAACCAGGTATCAAGCGGTCTGCAATGGCATCTGGTATACCATCTGGGGTAGAATTTCACCGTAACCTGGTAACGACACCAAACACCGATTCCCTGTTCCGCATTCTCGATGAAGCAGGATTATTTTTAAACTTAACTGTTGTGGCCAGCTTATTCAGCCGCAAATTCGTTACCATGCACAATATGGATATACATTAATATATTAAATTCCGGTTTTGTGATCTAAGCACATGTTAACCGGTTTGTCATTGTATATTAAACGTGATATTTAACTGATGCCTATCAGTTTCTTGTATAGAATGTACCGGTACATCTGTTACGTCAATACTGTATACCGTTCGCTGTACACTGAAGAAATTATCCGGCGAATAACTATGTACAGTAATTGCAATACACATTAGAGAACTGCAATACACATTGTAAGAATTAGAGTGGAATACCGAGTAAAAATATATTAACGGCCATAGAAATTATACGTTAACCGGATTTATTTCATCACGAACTTTGCGCAATTATAGATATTTCACCCGAAAACCTGGTGTGCCAACCTGACAAATAGGCTTATTTGGAAACTGTAGCACAATGATCATCATTCTATGAATTATAACTGGTGCCCTTTACAAATAACACTGTTATACCTTTATGTAGTACGGTATAATCGTATGGTTTGCATCATTTCCATGTGTTACAAACAATGCGTACATCTTTACTGGTCTTGAAGTCAGAAAGCTCACAAAGGTCCGCAGCAGAAACTTCATCTAATATTATCCGTTTCTCTTTCTCTCTTATTGTCACAGAATACCAGAGCTTTGACAAAACTTATCCAACACGCCATAGCAGGCGTTGTACATGCGCTTAGTAGTATTTAACGTGAAGTACAGAGTATAGGGGGAAAATGAGTCTAGCCGAACCAGTCCCTTGTACTTCTGATGTCAGCCGGCTGGTGTTTTACGTTGTGGCTATACATGGTGCTTATGTACCGCGCCTGATTTAACCGTATGTACTGCCGTAACGTCACACTCCAGGCGGGTGACGGCAGCAGTACAGGGAACCGGGCCGAGCAGACTTGTTTGTCCCCTATATGATAAAATAAACACTCGCAATCTGTACCTTACGTTAGAATTTAGAAATTACGGGACAAACTCGTACAGCATGCTTCATGCCGCATGACGCAAAAGTACCAACCGGCGGCAATCGCCGCCACATCTGCAGATCCTTTAGCACAAGGTTTGCCCACGCGAGCCTGTAGGCAAAAAAATAGGAAATAGCTACCGTGTAATGGGCAGGGCAAATCAGACAAAATAATCTCTGATGATGATCCGGAAAGGTCGTGCAATAGGCTGTTTTGGCTGCTAGTAAAAACAGGTTATGACCTTTGTGCCTGTTTGCTATGTACAGACGCAACATATGGGCACTTGGTACGGATATTGCGTCAATAGCATTTTATCTCCACATATACGATGGAAATTAACCCTTATTTACGTACCGAACCATTTGCAATCTTGTCACACCTTGTTTGGCAGCTATCGTGCATCGTACAGCCATCCAGTAATTAACCAGGAATAAAAGCAGTTTCCTTTTCGGAATTTGTGTGTGTACTGTGGGCGTACCAGTGTCGCTAACGAATTCGCGAGGGAAACTGCGAAGTCGCTGGCTCTAAATCAGTCGTGGCTGACTAATGTTAAGTAGTAAAGGCATTACAATTTAAGTGGCCGCTAATAGCTTCCTTATTGTTTCATCGGGACTGCTATTCCTCCTGCTTCATTAAAAAATGAATATGGCATCGTTCTTCTGTGCCGTTATGTGCCTTGCTACGTTAATCGTTGGGCAATCAGCAGGTTAGTAAAACTTAATTAATTTTCTAATGGCTTTTAAAAGATCGTATCAGCCTCTGCTGCACTTTCGGTATTGACTTGAGTTTAATATACATGCGATAGATGCGCAGATTCTATATATGTGATTTCGAGAAATTCGCTGTTTCATAGTCCCTGGAAGGTTTGCCTGGTGTAATACGAAATTTTCGTCTATAATTTTCATTATCGGTAAAAGTTGCACTGCTTACAGTTGCGTTTGGTAAGACGCTGTAAAAAGGCAACCCTACACCACAAAATGTCCGTTTTTGTAAGCTTCCGAAGCAAACATCGGCAAATATGCTAGAATAACAACTACTGTATATTATTATTTCAACTGTATTATTATAACTATATTATTATATTATTAACTATATTATAATATTATATGTTATCATATTATTATATTTCAACTATATTATTATATTATTAACAACTATATTATTATAAATAATTATTATTTCACGCACAAACTTAATTACGTACTCGTATTACTGTTGAAAATCGCGTACATGCAAAGCAAGGGACGCGGCGGATGAGTTAGTTTCGCATTGGAGTGAATTACGCCAAGAAAGACAGGAAATCGTGTTATTTTGACATAGGACATACTACAACCGTCGACTGGAGCTGGACAGACATGCCCAGCACCAGATTCGTTGCCACAGATTCCATTGTGACCTCTTGGTGTAATGCCTACAGCTCTAGATCCACGGCGCGGGGACAGATTGCTGGTGAAATCCAAAACAACCTGAAACGCAGCGAGAATGGCTACGACTGGCAAGTGGTGGTGGCAGAAGCATTCGGCGCTCAGGTAAGTCAAGAGGGCATTACGAGAGCCTGAAGGCCATGAAGTATAATGCTGTGATCAGGCCCGTCTTTAGCTTTGTTGATGGGGGTGTCGCATAACTTCGCGCCAGCTGCGCCAGTACCATTCTACATCGGAATGAGAGTTGCTAGATTCGGTGTTAAAACTTGAAGTCGTCAGATTCCCCATCTTGGACACTGTTTTCCGCGGACGCTTCATCCCAGTCCTGCATGGCGCGCCACAAGGCGCACAAGCAGAAACGGTTCAGTTTGCCCACGTCGACATCGGCTAGACTGTCCATCCCCCACTGGCGTTTGCGATACTGGGCTGATGGACGCGGATTGCTGGACTGGTAGTCTTCTAGAATCTGCAGAGAACATTAGGTACAGTACAACTGCCGGCTATTTCCGCCCTGGAAAGCACTGTTATCTCGTAGTACGTAGCGAATGGAAATCTTTCCTTCAAGCTCTTCTTGCCCTTTTTTTCCGGTGAAAGGACTTAGGACTAACAAGATACACCTTTTTTTCAAAATCGTCACTGCTATTGGCTTTTAACTCGTAAACTTGATTTACAAATTTAATAAAAACATTCTTTCAAAATTTGATAAAAGTGATGAAAACCGTGTTGCGAAAAGACTACTATCTCCCAGTACTAGTAGCTACCTTCATCATTCTCCTCGCTGTTGATGACATTGGCCTTGCAGATGGCAATGCGTTTCTCGTCCAACGGTGGCACCGCCCACTTCAGATGCTGCTCGAACAAATCGACAATCTGCGCCTCATCGACAGGTCCCGGTGTGAGAATACGGAACGTCATTAAGGTTGTTTCCTTCTTATATGTCGGTACCCGACCGAAAAATCCGGACGTCCGGCGGACATTTTGGTTGGTTACCTCCACTACTGTCAGGAAGAAATCCTTGAAAATGAAACGATCACAGCATGACCCTAGTCTGGATGTTTGCGCGGTGATCTCCATGAAAAACACGCCCAATTTCCAGTAAACAAAAGCGTGCGCGTCCAGCTGAACACGATCAAGCGGTCGATGCAAAGGCCGGCGTCGTCCAAGACCTGCTTAATCACATCCAGCACTTCATCGGCACCATTCGAAATCCTCCAGCTGTCAATATGACGTTTCGTTGTCGCGAATGGTGTGCAGATGGTGCGGGTGGCGGAGGTCATGTGTTTGAGGATGGAGGCGTACATGGCGGAATTGCAGTCCCACTTCACTGGCAGCGAAGAACTCTCCTTCTGCCGTGATAGACGCACATCGCGGCACAACTCAGTCGATGTGAGAATCGTTTCCCACATTTGACAGGTGCGACGACAGCGCTGACGGTCGACGGTGTCCAGTGACTGGAAGACCTCCTCAACACTTGCAACGCCACTGCCAAACCGGCGTTACGGAAACCTAGCGTTTTTTTCCGATTTAGCTGCCCGCCGCTTCTTCTTTCTCCAGGGGTCTGGGAACCCATGAGTAGGCCGCTAATGTTATAATTACAGTTTTACGCGGTATTTCACAATTTCTTATGGGTATATTTGCAAGCAAGTCCCGGATAGTTTCCCCAGTGCACCGCGGACGGCATATCGACAGCACCGATCAGCATATGTACTGGTACATTGAACTACATAACGTATTGACCAGAAACTGGTATATATTAAGTTAATACCAAGTTTAATATGCACTGACACATCGGCGGGCACGCGCAGAACAAAAACACAGGAAATCAAACAAAAGAGTATCCCCGCTGCGTAGCGAATGGCGATTGAATAAGTTAGCTACAACAGTTATACTTGCAAAACTATCCTGTCTCGTCCGGAATTTTAAAATGCAGCAAGTTAATTGGAACGGGAATGTCGTTAGCACTTTCATCTCATAGGGATCCCCTTAAACTGATTTATTTCACCATGACCTTTACACAATTATGCTATGTTACACAATTATGTCATCCGACAAGCTACATACAGATAGTGTGCCAATCTGACAGTTAGACTTTATCTGGGGATCAGCGATATAATATTATATATATATGAAACGAGTACGGCTTAATATTTCGGTCACCGGTCACTTACACCACCCCCTCGTGGCCCGCTACATGAATAGCTGATGACCGGACAAACTGCCACGACATACTTTCTGATTTGTTTTTCACTGGTCTGCAGTCGTAAATAAATTCAGAAATGCTGGAATCTCAGATTTCTGAAAATTATAAACGCGGAAGAGCGGTTCCACTGTATTACCGGTGCAGTAATGACTCCAACTGCATTGCACCCGGTCCAATTACTTTTCTTTGTTTGGTTTCTTTATGGGCACTTTTTTCAAGTTTTCATGCTTTGAAATTTATGAGCGAAGTTTTTACCATGAAAACTATTGATTTTCTGGTATCTATATATGTTTGTCAGGAACTTCATCACCACCTGACCAAAACGTGCAAACGAAATACGAATATCTGGAGCGACCGAAATCTGAGAAACAGCAGTACACAGATGGTAGAATGAGACTTTTTTTGTGGTTAGCTTGCTTGAGAGCAGGTGACGTTGAATTCGACATAAGTATGTACTTAGACTGTGTACATAAATGCCAGCGGAACGCTGAAATTTGAATGCGGATTTGCGTAAAAGTGCAATGTTGTTGTAATGATGTGACATAACAATGCGTGTACTAGTAATTATTATGAGCAATAACAACATAAGTTGGGTCATCCATATGCTGTATGTTGCAACTTGCAACCGTAGTGGTTGCTACGTTATCGGACTGTGTTTCAAAACTTTTTATTATCTCGTCGCATGTCGACCGGATTGATGTTACGGCTCCCAAATACTCTTCGAGCTTACATTTCATTGAAAAAAAACAAATAAAAAAATCCATGATCAAATTTTCTCGTACAAGCGTAGGGACAACTAATTTGATCGTCGATGAGGGCACAGACATCCAGGACGCAGAACGGCGACCCACAGCTAGGGCAGAGGCCGCAGAGCGTCTGTGACTATGCCGCCATCTTGCCTTCCGGATCCTGTTGGTCCTGAAAGCAACCACCCCGCCTGCGATACTCGAAATTTCTGAACCACAAATGTTTCGATTCCCGCTGAGGCGCCTGCTTGGCCGTCATGGGTGAATGTGCAAGCTTGTCCCGTAATTTTAGTGCATCAGCACACTGACAATCACATGCAGCTGTACGGGTTACGCTATACTCTATAGTCTATACTATGGCGCGGCATGTCGCACTGTTTGCGCTGTACATGCATTTGCCGTGGCCGGTGCATGCCAGATAATATCTGACAGACATCGATCTAAAGTATAAACAATCAATAAAATTTTGAAATATTAGATTTTCCCTATGTATTTACTTTACATGTAGAGAGGAATAAATTTGTCATTGTGATGGCAGTTAGATGCACTGCAGCGGCAATCGCTCATAGCGCAAAGATCACTAAATATCTGATTTTTGCGATAGAAATTACGGAGCACGCGCCCTGAGCGTGGTGTAAACGCGTAATAACAGGCGTCAATCGCCGCCATATCCGCAGATCCTAAAGCGAGCGCAGTGGTTTCCCACGCAAGCCTTTAAGCAAAACAAAAACAGGAAACATCTGCTTACTGATTACTGTGTAACTGGCAGGGCAAATCAGGGAACGTAATCTCTGATATGGTCCAGAAAGGCGGTGCAGTATAGGTTGTTGTTGTTGATAGTAAACATCTTTATGACCTTTGTGCTTGCTTGCAAACGCAACATGTAGGCATCTTGTACGGATATTGCGTCAATGGCATTCTATCTCAACATGATCGACTGGCATTCAAAACTTATATTTACGTACCACACCACTGGAAATCATGTTTTGGCAGCTATCGTGTACATCGTACACCTATCTTGTAACTAACCGGGAATAAAAGGGTGCACCTGTAACACTAACCAATTCGTGAGGGAAACTGCGAAGTCTCGGGCTAAAAATCAGTCAATACTTACTAATGTTGATCAGTAAAGGTGATTTTAAGTAACAGCATTATTTAACTTCATTATTTTTTGTCGAGGATGTTTTTCTTCCTGATTCATAAGAAAATGAATAACGCAACGTTCTTCATTGCCGTTATTTGCGTGGCTACTTTAATGGTTGGGCAATCAGCAGGTTAATAGGACTTGATATTTTTAAATAGCTTCTACAAGATCGTATAAGCATCTGCTGCACTTTCGGTACTGACTTGAGTTTTATATACATGCGATATATGCGCAGAACTTATGGATGTGATTTCGAGAAATTCGTTGTTTCATAGCCACTGGTCAGGTTGTCTTGTTTAGTACAAAATTTTCGTCTATAATTTTAATTATCGGTAAAAGTTGCGCTGTTTACGGTTGCGTTTTAGTAAAAAAATTTCAAAAAGGCAATCCTACACCACAAAAATGTTCGTTCTAAGGTTCCGAAGCAAACATCGGTAAATATGCTAGACTAACAACTACGCTACTGTTATTTCACGCACAAACGTAATTACTCGTATTACTGTAGAAAATAGCATACCAGTAAAGCACGGGACGCAGCTTATGAGTTAGTAGCGCATTGTGGTGAATAATTTAGTGTTGCTGTTCGTTACCTAAACGTTTTCGTATGAGATTTCGCATAATGTTCGTTACGATAACGAAAAGTCACGTTGATTTCGTATGCGTTACGATAATGCAACGAAACGAATTACACCAAGAATGATAGGGAATCATGTTATGTTGACACAGGATATACTACAACTGTCGACTGGATTGGCTGGACAGACATGACAAGCACCATGTTCTCAGTCACGGATTCATTTGTGACCTCTGCGTGAAATGCCTACAGCTCTACGTCGCGGAAACTGATTGCTTCGAAAATCCACGATAACCTGAAACGCAGCTACGGTCGCTACAATTGGCACGTGGTGGTGGAAGACGGCGACAGTGGCTTAAAAGTAAGTCAACAGGGTCATGATGAGAGCATAATCGTTTAAGGGATTCGGACCGGTACACTTCCAACACTTTTTTATTTTATTTTATGATATTTTGTAGCCAAACGGTTTTATCAGATGGCGCTGACTAGGCGCGCATCGACCATCGACGGCGAAACAAAAGCAAACCCGGATGAAGGCTTTAATGCCGAAATCTGACACACACCGCGCTTTGCGCGCAAGCCAAGAACCAACTGGTCTCTGTAGGCAGCGCAGCTGCCTTATAGAGCCATCAAAGCGCATGCAAATGCCCAGACAGGAAAAAACCCAAAACCAACCAATGAGAGAAGGGTGAATCATAAGCCCGCCCTGACATCCCTGTACGGTCTAACACTGAGCTCCTGCGAAGTGCAGGTAAATGGCGTGATGCGCCGTAAAAGAACAGTGGATACAGGGACCGGTACGGTCCCTGTACTATGTCTAATAGACTGTACTACCGGGTGGCTCGGTTCCAGTTCGGTCGGCTCACGTGGTCCGGTATGGGATCTGGTTCAGTCAGGTTTGGTCCGGCTCGGTCCAGGTTTGGTCGGCTCGGATCAGGTTCGGTTTAGGAGTGGTTCTCGGTCGGTTTGGCTCGGGTTCGGTCGGTCTGGTTCGGCTTCACGCGGTCCAGTGCCTAGGTCAACGCACTGTCGCGATAGAATCCAGGGTCGGATGCGGAAATCGGTAGATTCCGCATTTTATCCGTCTGGAGAAAGGTCACCGTCTGGGAAAAATCGCGCAGAGGTTTGGGGCACAGGTACGGCCATGACCCTGCAAACACAAAATTACGCTGCTCCGGTGGGGCAATTCCACTGCTCCGCCGGGGGAAAGGTCGCTGTCCCAGGTAAGGCGGGCAGGGTTTTGGTGGGGTGAATTTCTCGGCGTGGTAATGGTGGTCGATCCGGCCGTGGGGATCGGGGTTGGCGTGGCTGTTGGTGGTGGCGAAGGGTCCGCAGGTTTCCTGCTGGTCCGGGTTGCGTCCACCGTCGGCATCCGTCATCGGTACGGTGTGGCTGTGGGTTTGTCCGTCCATCGCTGCACTTCTGGCTTGGCGATATCTCCATCCCCTTCTGGGAGAGGCAGTTTTCTCCGCGTTCTGCGGGAGTGACGGCACAGCTCCGGCGACTGACGGGAAATCCGGGGGAGCGGGATGAGCTCCGTACCCGGGGGTGGCACAGGACGCGATCACGCGATCTGGTCCACAACTCAGAGGTGGCCCGTGAGCGGGGCAAGCCCGCTGTGTAGCACACGATCGGCACCGTGGTCTGCTACCATATCAGATGGCGCTGACTAGGCGCGCATCGACCATCGACGGCGAAACAAAAGCAAACCCGGGTGAAGGCTTTAATGCCGAAATCTGACACACACCGCGCTTTGCGCGCAAGCCAAGAACCAACTGGTCTCTGTAGGCAGCGCAGCTGCCTTATAGAGCCATCAAAGCGCATGCAAATGCCCAGACAGGAAAAAACCCAAAACCAACCAATGAGAGAAGGGTGAATCATAAGCCCGCCCTGACAGTTTGTACACGTAGAAAAATTCCAAAAAGTTTAAATGCATTCATGTGTATTGAGTTTTATTTAGTGCGGAGCGAAATAAGCAAATTATGCGAATAAGCGTAATTTCTGCAGATACTGTATGCTTGGTACATAACACCAGTAATACTGTTCCTTTGCAGGTTTCCGCGGCTAGCGGAACCTCGTATAAAGCAATCTGCAATGACAACCGGTATATGATCTGGGGTACTTTGTAATCTGCTATCGACTCCCAATAATTCTGATTCCCCAATACTTGCTGCCGTTTAAAATTCCGGATGGGAAAGGACTATTTCATATAAGCATAACCGTAGTGTCTATTTAATTCACCCTTCATTCGGCACCCAGCAAAATACGGGTATACAAACTGTTATAATTTATTTGATGTTTATTGTGCCAATGCATTACTAAACTGACCATTATTAAACTGACACAAGCGTGTCGTTGCACAATACGTCGTTATGTTCTGAAAGCTGAACAACAGTTTACTAGCGGTGGTTGCGAACCACATTACTGCACGAGCGCGAGCGTGGGATTGTGGAATCGGAAAAGCGTGACGTACGCTCTTCGTGGCGTCAGACAAATTTTATTATTACTATTATTATTACGGCACAAGAGCAGACAACCCCGAAGGGACTTCAAGTCTGGTCGAACAAAAACAATTTTCCGCTAACAAAAACGTTTAGGAGAGTTTAACAGATCTGAGTAGAAATTTGAAAGAAGGTACAGAACTGGCTTCTAGAATTTTAGGATTAACAGCAAGAAGTTTATCAAGAAGACGCTTTAGCCGCATTTCCATAGTCCACCCTCCGATAACTTTCTTTGCCCGCGTAAAATCGATCCGGGCCGGCTTTCGCAAGTTGTAGCGCGTGGTGTTATCTTTTACTTGGATCATGTCCAGGAGGTAAGCCGGAAGCGGGAACTGATCTTTGTTCCAGAACTTGAACAACCACACCGCATCGCTCTGCCGCCATCGGTCGAATATGTGAGGAATACCCAACTTCTGATACAGTTCCGGAGTAACCGGCATCTTGTAATCAGTGATGGTTTTCAGAGCTTTACGTTGTAGTCCGGCTAGCTTGTCGCGCTCAGTCGAAGACGCTGCAGACCATACCGGCGACTGGTGTGCGATATGCTCTTGACGAAGACTTACTGCAGCACCTCGCGCTTCGCGCTTGGTGCAAATAATTGTATACAAACAGTATGGATGACACTGTTTTTATGGTAATCTGCTTATGGTTAGGAGCAAGTGACGCACAACTCGGCGTGCAACTGCCAGCGCGGAATAGTTTTCCGCTGTATATAGATATAGGACAACAGAATGTGTAGTCGTGTACTGGCTCTCATGAAAACAGCAACAACTACAATTACCACATTCCATCACACATTGTTACTCATGAAAAACAAATAAAAAAATCAAAGAGCAAATCTACATGGTGGTAGTAGGGAAATTCAGTTATCGGTGATGGCGCAGACATCCAGGACGCAGAACGGCGACCGACAACTGGGACAGGGCGCCCGTGCCGCCATCCAGCCTTCCGGATGCTGCTGATCCTGAAAACATGAGGGAAACATCAGCAAACACAGGAAGAACACACTGAAAAACTCTTGAAATAATTATTCTGAAATTAATTCCTGGACAATTTAGCAATGCAACACAATTAATTTTAATGTAAATCATCAAGCAAAATATGTAACTATAAACAAAAATGTAAATAATAAGTCAAAGTGTAAGTAATAATAACAAAATATAAATTAAGAATAATAAACAAACAAATATAAATCAATAGTAATAAAAAAATAGACAATAGTATAAAATAAAATTAATTTTTATATATTGCATTTTTAATAACAGTTAATATTGTTATTTCACCTGCTGATGCGCGAACCACAGACCCATACAGCCGACACACCACAGCGGACGGCAGCCGCAGTTCTGGCACTCCGCGGCATCACAGCGTTTGGTCAGTTTGACCTGCGCCGGCAGGACGTAGCAGCCGATGCAGTTCTCCATTTCCTATGAAAATGTCCGCGTTAAAAATAAATTTCAGTAATTAATCTTGTTAATTGTTTACGCCGCGAATGGCGGAGCGAGGAACCGGCTGGTTGCGGGCCACCTGCTCGGCGAACTCCACGCTGAACCGCTCGGCCAGGGTGCGGTGGATGATGACACCGGCCGGGATGTGCAACGGCACACGGATGAACCGCCGGAAGTTGTCCAGCTCCCGCGAATTTATCCTACAATTAATTTTAAAATTTATCTACAATTTTTTCGGCTATTTTGTACTTATTTCTATTACTTATTGCGATTTTATTGTTTTTTTATTTTATAGGTTTTTTATTTTTATTAATATTTGTAATTGTTTTTATTATTTTCATATTTACAATTGATTTTTTCTTTCTTCCATTTTAGTGTCATCATTTTTGATACGTTACTAAAACTCAAACAATTTAGCTACATTTTTTGCCGTATTTAATTATTGAGTTATACTTGTTACTAATTTTTTATTAATATGTTTTAACCTAAGTAATGTACAGATTTACTGTTATATAATTTAAGAATAATGATAAGAATAATATTAATCAGAACGACTTAATCACTTACCGCAATTTGAAGCTGTCGACGTGCGGAACGAGATTGTGGACCTGGATGTTCAGGTACTGCGCGGTGGTCATTTCCGACGTGTGAGAAATATGCTCGTCCGTGCCGGACACCTCCAGACGGCAGTATCCATCCGTCTCGACGTCGTCGGCCGCCGGCTCGCCACCGGCCCATGGCTCCTGCAGCGCCACATCCACCTGATATAATAAAAATCTGTACACATATTAAACTAAAATCAAATTCAAGTCTGATTATTCATGTCGATTTAAATCATTTAATCAAAAACTGATTATTTCAAATTTCCAATCAAAATCGGACGAATTATTCAAAATTTACTCAAAATAAAATTATAAATAAAATGAAATGTTTATCGATTATTAAATGTTACTTCAAAAATGAATTACCAGCAATTCTAACCAAATTAAAAATCTCTTCAGCTTACTACACATAAAATTGCAACTATTTTTAAATTATAGTAAGTGTAAAGGATTATTAAAAATCTCTCCAACTAAATAGTAAATAACACATGTAATCACAGCCATTTTTAAATTACAATGAATTCAGCGGATTATTAAAAAATAAAATAATTTAATTAAAATTAGGAAGAAAACAGAAAATTTCCCTTACAGATGATGGCAACAACAAAAACCTGGAAAAACTCGCGAATAGATCCAGGGAATATTTCGGTACAGAAATTACCCGGTAGGGACTGATGCGAATGATAAACGACCGCGTAACCACCGTCCTGGCGTTCCAGCTGGTGAGGAGGGAGTAGAATTTGTCCATCTCCCGGTACTCTTCATCGATGCGCTCCGCCAAATCCGTCCAGGAGGGAAGCCCAAGGACGCCGGCGTACGTCTGCAGGATACGCGCCAGCGGATGCCACGCCCACGGCGGGTCCCTTCCGCCGGCGTCGGCGGCGGTCAGTCGGCGGAGGAATCCGTTACGCCAGTGCAGGACAACGAGTGCCGTCAGGGAGAGCCAAGTCACGCAGAAAATGATGTACAGCGTCCAGACCAGGCTGCCGGACATGAGGACTTCCGGATACAACCACTGCACGCACGCCACGTATCCTATAAAACATACATAAATCATGGCACAAATTACAAATTCCTGAAAAATATTTCTTTTCAGAAATTCACGTTTGTATTTAAATATTCCAATTAATTTTTAATTAAAATCCCCATATTATCAGCAAAAAAATCAAAGTTACAGGCATTAAAAGAATGTCAGACTAATACGGTTTCTGGGAGCATAAATTACCTTGAATAAAATTTTAAAAAATCCCAAACGCATGAATTACAAATAATAATTAGTTAAAAAAAAGTTAAAAATTAAATCAAGATACAATCAGTTAAAAAAACGTACTGTAATTAAATGTAACTATGTATAATCTAACTACATAGGGAAAAAATTCGGACGGAACAAAAAATTCACAACTAGAAATAAATAAATAAAAAATAAGATATTAATCAATCATTTACAATAATAATATAACAATAATTAATTACAAAAAAAATTGATCATGTTCATGAATCCATCAAAGCAAATTTAATAATTTCGATGGAATTCAATTACTTGTAGGCTCAGTAAACAAATATCTGAACAAATATTTTATGAAATAGTTACAAACATAAATATATTTTTCAAATATTTATTAATTATTAATCAGGCATTATAAACGCTTACCGAGGGGGAGCGCGCTGTGGCAGAGGATCGTGGCGGCGATGCGTCGCATGTGAAAACTGACAAACTGCTCGTGCTCATCGCCCAACCACCCCAACACCCCGCCGATGATCCCTTCCACCGTCAGCCCGATACTCCACAGCTCCGGCGGGGGAAAGGCCAGCAGCACGCTCAACATCACGTACACCACCGTGAACAGCTGCCATGTCATCTCCATTTGTCCCGAATAATTCAACTCCCGGACCTGGTTTAAACTCTAAAAAACCCAGCAGTGTCGGTTGGCTGTCAGCAGCAGTGAGCAGTGCGCGACACGGATTGACGGCTGACGCGGCACTTTCACGAGATCTCCACGTACACCACCGCTAGCTACGCGCAATTTCGCAGTATGATCGTTGGTGGACATAAATTAAAAACTGCAGACTAAAGTGGAAGGGAAGATTTCAATTCAGCGATCGACATTCGACACTTCGACAGGTCGGAATTTGAAACCACAACAGTGACAACATGCTTGTAACAGTCGTGCACGTAACCATCGTCGCGGAGCGGATCACGCTGATTATTGGTGTCGCAACAGGCATCCACCCACACTGTGGCAGTTGAGAAGAGTGATTATGTGCAGTTATTAACGAGTAAACAGCTTCAACACGGCGCACATAGTATCATTAGATTCCTTGGAATTTGAGGAATATGTTATCATGCAAAAGGTTTCTCCCAAGCAATGAACTGAAGTCGCAAAACTTCGAAGAACCCAGCAAGGTAAAGATGGCTAATTGATGTCAAAACGTCAGCTTGCGATGCTCATCAACTCCACGCATAATCTTACGTTGCCTAATCATTAGCGCGTGTGATACGAGGACGAGCTTAGTACATATGATAGACAAAAAAACTAGCGAGAGAATCTGATAACCATGCCCGGCCCGTGCAACACGGGCAACCACCCAGGTCTGTCAGTGCTGGTAAATACATCACATTTAATACAATTAATACATTGTACATTTAATCACATTTCTGCATCAGTTTTTCTGCTTCCCGTTGCTCGAGCGCTGCGATTACTTTACTGTCAGTCGCAATAAGCCCTGCTTCGGCGCGCAGACGAGAATCTTTAAGTTTTCTCTTTTTCTGAGGACGTCGCTGGCAGGTTCCTCCACACAATTCTCACTCAACGGTAGGCCCGAAACAACGCTGATACTCGTGAAAGAAATCTCCATCGCAGGTGCAGAAAACAAACTGGCAGGTAGCCGTACGTCGGTGATATTCTCAATTTCTCATCGTAGTACATCTCGCCAGATGAATCTTTATATTTAGATGGTAATTTTATAACATTACTATCAAGAGATTGGTTAATTAATGTCAGTCACTGGTTACTGGAAATTTTGCGGAGAACCAATTATAAACAGAGTTATAAAACCAAAACAAAACTCGCATTTAAATTTCAATACGAGTGTGCGTTACCGTAAATAGCAGACCGTGTTCAGCTAACGGCTGCGTGACGGCGCGCGGCTACCGCCAGCCTAAGGTGGCTGACAGTGTTGCACAGCACGCAAATGGTTATCAGATTCTCTCGCTAGTTTTTTTGTCTATCACATGTACTAAGCTCGTCCTCGTACCGTAAGAATCGAATTATGGGCCCCCCCATAATAGAAGCCCTCCCCGTAATTACCGGGTGGCTGAACAAAATGGCGGTCTCGGATTTTTGTTTGTTGCTTGCGGGTCAGTTGTCGCACCGCGAACTGTTTAAACTCATTTGATAGAGAATTTATTCAGCTATCAAAATCAGCAAAGCGTTTTTAAAAATGTTCATTCGTGCTTGTTTGCACTGGAGTTATTTGGAAGCGGGTGAAAATTTTTCGTGTCCCAGGTTTCAAAACCCAGAATCTCGTAGCACTGCCTTCCCGTAAGTACTTTTTGAAAAATCTTCAGTGTTTTATCTAGAGCACGACGTCTACTTTGATTATAAAAAAAGGTGTAGACATCGTGCTTTCCCAGGAAGAGTTATGCAGTCAGGACAGTTTGTAACTTTCCGAAAAAATGCTGGTTTTTTAATTTATTTTTAAGATTATTTTTAATCTAAATTTTGGCCGCAATAAGGACTGCACCAAAAAATGCCGGTTTTAGCTTTTTACAGTAGCTAATGTATTGCGCGTGCAGATGCACTGTTGAACCTGATAAACTTCTGAAGGGTTGGCCAGAAATTTACTACCAAAATCCCTGCTTACGAATTTCATGAAAATTGTCCCATGCCTAATCGCCGCCATTCCGTGTATTGGCCAAACATGGTTACTAGAATACAACAGTTCTTTACATAAAAAAAACTAGAGACCACCCCTCAACCCGAAACAGCAACGTAAGTTACATTACGGCTCTTTGCTGAACAACAGCAATTTTTATTTTATAATAAGGTAATTTTAGATTTCCGTTTTCAGGACATCATTAAAACCTGCCCAATTTTTAAAAATAATTCAAGATAAAATTAAACCTCTGCCTTATGTAATCCGAGTTTAATTTTTGTACGCGGTAGACTTTGCTCTTTCGAATGAAATTAAGATTATGGCAATCGAACATTTGACGGACCCAGTGCGACGGTTCAAATGAGACCGCCATTTTGTTCAGCCACCCGGTAGAGCCCCCCTCAAAATGGTTCGAAAATTATAAGCCCCCCCGAAACAGAAGCCCTGGGCTTTAATAAAATGCACGGAAAATGAAATTTCTGAGCACCGGCATGTACCGGTACCTAGCAATTATCATGTAATTTTTACGACCTTGCCAATAAAACACATTTGAAATATAATACCCCCCCCCCAAAATACAAGCCCATGCCCGTAATTAAAGCCCCTCCGCAGGGCGTTCCAACTTTTGAAGCCCAGGGCTTATAATTCGATTTTTACGGTAGATCACATCTGTGTTCGCTGCTCTCCGCTACACCGCTTATTGTCAGCGGGATCTATTGAGCTGTGAATTTTTGTGAGAGTCATCGCACGTCCATACGTACGAAACAGCTGTACAGACGCAGCGCCGCATTGTGTGATTGCGACCATCGCAGGCTGACGTCAAGACTTGCTTTTAACCATCTTTACCTTGCTGGGTTCTTCGAAGTTTTGCAACTTCAGCTCACTGCTTGGGAGAAACCTTTTGCATGATAACATATTCCTCAAATTCCAAGGAATCTAATGATACTATGTGCGGCCAGTGAATTGCGCGCCGAGTTGAAGCCCTTTGCTTTTAAATAGTACAATTTGCTCTGTTTCACGTACTACGCTCGCACTGTTTCTCGATTTAACTTAAATACTTTACAACTTCGAATGATTTCTTGTAATTTTTTTTTCTAGATTTGCTGTTTCAAGTAATGGAGAGAAAGTCTTTTTTTGTGATGCAAATCAATGAAGAAAAGAATGGAAATGTTTAAAACCTGCCAAGAAAATATTGGAATGACATTGCCACGCCGGGCGGTTACAACTGCGTTAGTCGCCGGAAGTCCCTGAATTTTTTTGCATTTGAACTGTTCAGCTTGGCTATTTCCTTGGAAAATAACTCATAATAGATAGGAAAGTGATTTCCACAGGAATTCAGGTCAGCCTCAATAAAATCGCTCGTGCGCCAATCATTCCCAGGCAGTCGAAAGTCGAAACCATCTGAATCTTTTTTTACCCTTGAATGCATTCATAAAAATAACTACTGCCTATTGCATAGAAATAAAATTTTTGCTCGTAAATTCAAAGAAAATAAATCGCATTTTATTTGTGCGAAGCCGGGATAATAAAAATATGCCAGAACACATATTTCAGAATATGCCAAAAGGTAAAATCAAACAATATCTAACTACTTTTCTAAAAACGCAAAAATTAATAGTCAAGCCAAAAGTCGATCCAAGCAGCGACTGCCTATAAGACAATATAAATTGCGTATAAAATTAAATTTTTTTATTTGTAAAATCTTTAATAATTGCAATGAGCGCAGTCCGGTGGAGCAACAAGTGCATCAGTCAGTGAAGGAGCGGACATAGGCCATGACCAGGTCGGCGGTGGTGCGCATGGTGGGACTGGGCGCGGCCGCCGTCTCCCCGGCGGCCGCTTGATAGTTGCCCTTGCCGGTGCCGAACAGCTTGCTCTTCTCGCCGGGCGTACTGCGCAGCGCCTTCTCCAGATCGATCATGACCTCCGCGGGGACGTCGGGGGGCACGGCCTGGTGGGCGGAGACGGGGGCGTTCTGGTAGGAGCCGGCCGGGACCTGGGCGGGGCTTATGGGCGCCTCCTTGTCCAGGTTGGTGTAGTGACCGGTCTTGGCCTGTCGGCGCCGGAAGCGCCAGTACTTGAAGCCGGCCAGGCCCAGGAGGACCATCATGGAGATGATGATGATGCCGATCATGCTTGCAAGTTTACAATATTACTCGTGATACAGAGCGGGGAGAAGGTCCCATTCCATTCTAGATTAATGCTCAGTGATTAACGATATTTACGCTTAATCTCGATAAATTAACGTACTCCGGTAACTAATAATACTGGTAACTAATAAGAATAATAATTAAAAAATATTATTAATATTATTATTTCATGTTTAGTATTACACGTACAATGACGTACTTGCAATTCTTTTATAGGTTTATTTCAAAGTTGTAAAAGCAAATGCCATTTGCACTTAAACTCACATACCAATAATAATTATTATATTAATTAACAATTATACTGGGCATTTATTTCGATTCATAATTCATGATAATTGATTGTCCTCACGGCAACATTAACCGGATACGGCTGATTTAAAATTAACTTTGGGAAAAAAATTCGATTTCGCAAGATTTGCAAAATTAGATTTAAATTCAGCGCGGAAATGCCGCTTCTCTTCTAAGAACTGCTGCTTGTTCAAAAGGCCTGGAAGAGATTTTCAAGTAATACTAAACATGCAATACCGTCTTTAGCGTGATTAAGAGGTTTAAAACGTGGCTAGTTGAACGATCACTTAAAAATGCTTTTTAATAATACCGTTTTATTGCTTTTTTTTAAGGAAGAAGGCTACACGATAATAATCTTCAAGAGAGACATGTATTCTTACCAGTAGTCAAGCGCAGTCAAATGTCAATGTGTTTCTGATCTCAATCCAGAGTTTTGTTCACGGAGCAGTGCAATGCGTTACCGAGGGCGATGTAGCAAAAATCTTACGGCTGACTGACACGAAGTACGCAAGGAGCAGAGGAAGTTGAAGAAGGGTACTCCACACTCTACAGCAACGTACGATCTCAAAGCCAAACAGAAACGGTTACTTTTTTCTGTAAAATCGTTAAACATACCCAAGAAGCCATATTATATATTTTATGTACACGTTAGATGCCATGTTTATACATACGGCGAGCCTGTTTCGTAGCAGCATGTTCTGCTTGGCATTGCCTGTGGCTATTTTCGTTTCTTTCCGTGGCAGAACTCAAATATTTCACTCTAGATACGGATAATTAACCGGTTACGCTATCGAGTTGGATGCCGGCACGTTGTTCAGTGTGCAGTGTGGGCGCAACACACCGATTGGACGGCATTAATTAAAGGTCACCGCCGTTCTGACGCAGCCATATAAATAAGACTGAGCGCGGCCTGCCGCCGCTGTTCAGCAACGCTTTATTATTACTATTATTCCACTACAGTAGCCAAACACCGTTAACGAAGACGCTTTAAATTCAGGTAAAAACCTTTGGGTTTACCAGGCTATTGGAAATCTTTAAATTCTGAAAATTTAATACTTTGTTTGGTTTAATTTTATGAGATAAAAGTTAGTGTAACAACACCAACTAAAAAAATTTTCTATTGCATAACAAACAAGCCTGTGCTCACATTGTACATATTCCCGCACCGCATTCTCCGGGGCACCTGGGATAACGAAACCAAATGCAAGAGCAATGCACTCGGTATATTATGATATCCACTCGTGACGTCGGTTGTCAGGACTGTGCAGATTGTCTTCTTCTTCTTTAAAATTCTGATTTAAACATTACGTCTAGGGTGAACCAGCGCAGACTTATTGTTACGAGAAGTTGAGATCCAAAAGGATAAAACAGACTGCTTGTTGCTGTCCTGTTGCAGAACGACCCGCCGCGGAAAGCATTGAGACGGCTTCTACAACGCTACTATCCGGTATATTATCGCTCTGCACTCAAACCTGATATTCATAAGTAGGGTACAACATGTACAGTGAAACCTGGGTACTAAATAGTAAATACACCTTCGGTTAAAGCAAAACCGTATGTGTTATCCAGGTGTATGTATTACACAGAGCTATAATACAGTCTATGAGACGCGCCGGTTAACTTTCCGCGTATGTAATTTCCAGGTGTATGTATTTATCGGTGTATTTAAAAGACAGGTTTCACTGTAGTTCAACAGCGCGACCGAATACGGACAACTCGCTGACGACTATTCTGCTGACCGACGGCTTGCTGCAGTGACTTTTTGTTGACCGACGAAATGATGACCCCGACAGTTTGTTAAAAAGACAAATGCGACAGCGATGCGATGCGATGCGATGCGATGCGATGCGATGCGATGCGATGCGATGCGATGCGATGCGATGCGATGCGATGCGATGCGTCGGTGAACGACATTTTGCTGAACGACTTTTGTGAACACCGACTACTTGTTGGTGACATTCTGCTGTTTGGAGAAACCGAAGAAACCTAAGGAAAACAACAGGTTAACAAAACTCAAAAATCCACGTATCGAGCCAAAAAACAAGTTGCCGGCGGCCAGCAAAAAGGTTTCGACAAAACGTCGGTCAACAATTTAGCAGAAAAGCAAATTATCGGTCAATAATTTGTCGGTCGGCGAGTCATGTAACTGTAACTGCAGGTGGGCGAACTGACGTGCTACCGGCCGAAGGCCATAAGGACGCAGACGGTGCAATCGATTGGGTAGACGTCAATTGCCAAGCAGGTATAACCGCGACCGGCGAGGTAAAGAACAGGTACTGTATAAGAGCAATTTTGTACTGGTGCTGTTTACGTACTTTGTTTTGTACTGTTTCCAAATGTGATGCTTATAACTTTCGCTGCTAACTAAACAAATAAAAGTATGAATTTCTGTATTGGTAGATTCGCATCAACATATTAAGCTTTGTGATTAAAGTTAACACTTGTTTCCCATTAATTAGAGCAGTGAAATCCTGCAGACCGGATTCGAACGCGCTACACTGATTGGATTGCTGTAACCAAGCAGGACCGTGAAAATTTGGCAGCGGAATTTCCGAAAGACTCGAAGGTACTTACTGTCTTCCAGTCTTCCTCAACCTGAGTAATTCTGCTTCTCTAAGGTGGGATACATTCGGGATATTGTCGCGTCCGACAATATACGTAGAAAGCCTTTATAGATGAGTGAGCGCATAAAATGCATGCGGGCAAGGGCGAAAGATGAGGGGATAACAACCCGGAAATTCTGCGGATTTGGACTTCCAAACGCTACTTCCCCTTCTGCAGATATTTCGGTTTGAGGCGTTAAGAACCCTGTCCAATTATATAATATAATATACGAAATGCAAGAATTAACGTTGCCCTCTGTCAATTGAGAGAGGCTTCGGAAAGTATATTCCCCTTGACAGAGTTGTGCGAATGTTTTGTGCACCTAAATCGTAATTTTTGATTCTTTTGTAAGTACCCCGCTTCGCTTGGCACCTTGCGAACATGTTGATGAAACTGTTCCACAGGCACCAACGGTTTCACATCTGTCCACGAAAGTGCACCAGTTTTCCAGTATGAAATCAGCAGAACCTCAACCTGTCGACGAAAAACTGGCTTGTTGCTGTCTAGTTCAACGGCTGAGAACTGACCACGGTGCGATCGAAGAGTAGTGAAAGTAGTATTCATTTGTTGTCGCCTATCATCTTGGAGGAAATATTGAATGCCTCGATACGCCAGTCCGCTGTCGATATCGCAAAGTGTGCAGCCATTGGAACAGTATTCTATCCAAGTCGCGTATCCAGAACCTATTGCGTGTTGCGTGTGAATTACACTGGACGGGTCCATGCGGATGCGGATAGAGAGGGGCGCCTGGACGAGGACTACGTGAACGCCGTCTGCATGAGCAAATGCTGGGCTCCCGTCATCACCATCGCCGGCACTTCTGCGCACGAGGAACGAGAGTTCTCTATCGTCATCTTTTGTCGTATCATGGTGGACATGGGTCACCGTCCTCCCCGCATAATCGTCCTTGCCGGTTTGCACTGGAACATTGCTAACCTTAACGTTTTAGGGACGGAGTTTAATGTACTGGCTCGGGTGTGCCAGTTTTTGGGGGGTCAGGACTTATCCCAACTCACCTTTGAAACGGAAAATCCCTCGCCCAAGGACTTGGCAAAACGAATCCTGCAACAGGCGCGAAAGATCTTCCAGCATTTTCTCCTGGAAATGGCGAGAAAATCCACTTCACTGGAGGTAGCCATTTCTTGGTAGAATAGCAAGAAAAGGGAAATTGGGCTTAGCAGCTCGCGCGATTTTTAACGAAATGGTTTCCAAGCATTCTATGGTCGTTGTATTTGGAGTTATGTTTCTCCTCGCTTGTATGTATTTAATATTTTGCTTGAAGCCGTAATTGATGGAAACCTTGTGGGCAAAAAGCGGTTTGCTCTGCCACTCTTTGTATTGGTGCCTAAGATAGTAAGAATACGAACTGCATGACCAAATTTTACTTACCTTATGCGATCCCGCTGTTAATGCGCTACAATCCTGATGTGTCATAGCCGCCCACTTCGTACACGAGTCCGGATCCGATTGGCAGATACAACCACTTTTACGGTTGATGTAGGCTGAACAGCCTGAACTATGCTGGCCAAACCGAATGTACCTCTGCCGCAATCAGATACAAATAGCAGAAGAGTTGCTGGATACCATCCCAACTAGAGATGACAACGGCTCAGCCGAAGCCGTATGAGCCGCGGCTATGCCGGCTTCGGATGAGCCGGCTTCACCCCACATTGTAGCCGCAGCCGATGCGAGCCGATTCGTTTGACCCGACTCGGAGTCTCGGCCAGCTAGGAGCCAGCCGAAAGCCGATCTCGGCCAACAGCTTGCGCTTTGTAGAGAAGAGCTTTATGAATTGAATTTTCTCATTTTTTGAACGTTGAACGCCGATTTTGAGGCTTGGAAACTCGTCAAATTTGCAAAAAAAAGCTGTTTCCATGATCGTTTTCTGCTTGCAGAACTTACCTAACGGTGTTTTACGATAAAAACTGCAGAAAAGAGGCTTCTACACCAAAAATGCTAACGTTCTCCTGTGGTGAAAAGTTGTCGGCTGAGTCGGCTCCCGTTCAAATCCGGCTAAAGAAGGTTAGGCAGACTGCTGAGCCGGCTCAGTAATTTAGCCAGCCGAAGTTTACATATGCAAAAGGCGTCTGCCTCATCGAACGCGTTTCCATGCTTCGATGCTGCTTGCGCCAAAAACACAGAGTGCGGCCCAACCGACGCATCTCGAGATGCTTACTTAACATAGCGCATGAGCCAATCCGTCTGTTCCTGTCGGCCTAATTATTTGCCGTTTTGAGACATTTCTCCCACATCGCCACTCCTTACGCAGCGCGGTCAACCTGATGTGGCTTGGTGCACTCTCATCCAGAAAACTCCAATTCTCTTGATCCCATTCGCAACCGCGGTAGTGGGGTAGTCGGACGAGGATCAGCGCTCTGGTAGGTGCGCAGAATCTATACACGGCCAGCAGATCAAACTGGGTAGTATAAGCAGACGAAGCCGAGATAGTAAAAACTTTTTAAAACAATATTACTCCTTTTCGTCACATATCGTTTAAAGAATGCATTTCTGTATTCATACAGACCGGACGCATTTAAAATTCGCTGCAATACCGGTGCCGGTTTTCTGACTGAGCACAGAGAACTGTGGTTTTTTCCTGTTAATGAATATGCTTCGGCTTACATAGGACGATGTCTATCAATAGGTAGACTGCCGGCACACCTCGGGAAAAGTTGTATTAAACATAATCATGATAAACTGAGAGAATGGCTTTGCCAGTGACTGTTTTATTCGAAGTAACGCGTTTTATTAGGCGACTGCCATAAATTACAACAAGCTATTGATATGTTTAAGAATAGAAGAGGTGGTAGAACACCGAGAGTAAAATATTTGGACGTCGACCAAGTGGAGGGTGCAACATAATTAGAAGTATTTAATTCTTTGCAGATTTACATGCAATGCTGGCAGTTTCCGTATGATAGTACGGATTCCGTACTACGGAATACGTACGTCTCCGTCAAGGTATGTCCAGTTGGGAACAAAAGGTATTCCCTATATGTAGGAACAGAACCAAGGCGATAAGAAACACAGTGTTACATCTACAGACTGTACAATGGGTCTACAGTCATTAATTAAGTAAAGCACTGATATATTATAACGATAAATACACGCCACGATAAATAAATACACGGTTAACTGATACAATGTGGAGTATTCTGTAGTTTCAAAATTTTGCTGTAATAGGAAGAATTGTACTGTTATCGTTTAATTCAGGATAGCGATTTTCTGCATGAATGCAAACAGGTTATGAAACTGCACAAAATCAATTTCAAGCAGCGCATTAAGCAATCAATTCACAAACCACTAGTAAGCGTTTAGAAGCTGGATCGATTCACTTCTATTCGCGCTACAACGTTTCATGTGCTGAGCAGACAGAGAAATGCCTGCAAAACGAGTTGTTGCCCAACTTGTCCGGATAAGCCGTCGGGCTGCCAGTGTTTATAGTCAACCTCCGCATACATTCAGCAAGACGCAGATTCAGTTCCGTGTCTGCTGCATACTGCAGACTTCATGAAATTATACCGCTTTAAATGGCAGCACAAATGCCTGAATCGGCACTCTTGAATTGGAATTAGGAGATATCGAGAAACCAGTTGTCATCCGAAGTTCCGAACAAGCCTTCGGGCTACAAACGTTTCTAGTCGTCCTCCGCATAAACTCAGCAAGAAGTAGACTCAGTTCCGTGTCTACTGCATGCTGCAGAGTGCAGAGCAGACTTAATGAGATTTGATATTACGCTTATTGCAGCACTAACGCGTGAATCAGCATTCTTGTATCAGTGCGCGGTTCCCAGAAAAACGGTTGCCGAAAGCCGGTTTGCAAAATTTCAGCTAGGTACCTCAAGATAATTAGGCTTCGCTGGGAACGTTGCTAACATAAGACTTCTCAGTTTTTGCATAGAGCAGTGTGCACAACGTATATATTTCTATTCAGTAGGCTTTAGGGAATTCGCAAAACTTCCTGCCCAACGTTTGATCAATGCGGGTTACCCGCAACCAGCGTTTGATAGGTTCATAAAATCACTATGCATCCATCAGCGAAGTTGATTACTTTCCCAGTGGTACTGGCTTTGTTTATCTCCGACGCTGGGAAAAGCAGAGGTATCGAGTCCGAACATGAGTTTCCAATTCAAAAGTTGTGAATAAACTCACAAATTCTCATAATCTTTAATCTTAATGCTTAATGCAAAAGGCTTTCTGTCTCTTCTCTACAGGTGACGAACTAAATATTGACGATGCCGGTATACTTTTGCCGCTGCCTGAATTCAACACGGAACTGATGACGCGCGATCAGTGCGAACTGCAGTTCACTGGTAACTGCGGCGTGCGTACCAACGTCGGCAACTCGTTTGCTTGTGCCCAAAACCACGGACTGGCCATTAACTGCAGCGGCAACGCGACGAACGAAGAAGTGCACAAATTAGCGGCGGCCCTCTCCCAGCCGCCCCTAAAGGCGGTCTCGATCAGCCTGAATGACGGACCGCAGATCACCTTCGACAACCTGGCACCGATCCGCGAGCCGACTGTGGTGTTCCACTTGCACAACTGCCGCTCACCGCGTGCCACGAAAACGCTGGCCCAACTGCGTCTGCCGCATTTGCTGGAGTTCGGCGCACATGACTGCCGCGCGCTAGACGTGCGGCGAGCCGACTTCTGGCAATCGAACAAACTGCGCCTGATCCAGTTCGTCAACAGCACGCTGGAGTCCCTCGAAGCCGGCACTTTTGCCGATTTGCCTGGATTGCGGCTGCTCTCGCTGGAGCGCGGCTTCAGTCAAATGGAGACCTTCCAGGAGGATGTTCAGACTTACCTGATGCGGCTCCACTGCGGCGACAATTTCGAGCCGTTTAGACGTTGGTGGCGCGTTAGCGGCTTGTTGCAGCAGACGACGGAAGGCGCTGTCTATCGCATCGAGTACGACTCATGGAAGAACGAAGAACTGAGCAAAACGATGTGTTTTTGCCTATAGACTGTGCAGCAACGCCGTTTCCCAACGGATCGGCATCTGTCGACTTTACGTTGGAAGTTTTTTCCGTTAACGAGAGCCTCCGTGAGTTATCTGATTTTAATTGAGCTTCTTTTTCTCAAATATCTACGAGTACGAATTGATGCAGTGTTTACAGATCCCGAAAAGTTACCCTATCGCCAGGTCAATTCCACTGAAACGGGTGATGAATTTCCGACGTTTTCCAGCGAGCCGGTGACTGAGACGGAATGCCAGATATTGTCGATCGCCAAATGTTATCCACTACAGCGTAGGCTCCGGAGCTGCAAAAATTATCCATTCAAACCCGAGAAGATCGAAGGACACCCGGAACCTGACTGTAGCGGCGCGGCACAAGTACGCGAAATCCGAGAGCTGGCCATGGCGATGGCCAAGCAACGGCTCCGACCAACAACCTTGATAATCAGTCAGCACTGGAATGTCACAGCCGCCGACGTGGCGCCCATTCGGCGGACTATTGTCAGCCTCGATGTCGGCGGCGGCACGGGGAGCCGTGTGACGGAGATACCCCATGAGCTCCGGCTGAGCAGTCTGCTGTACTTCGGAATACTGAGCTGCAGCGACCTGGTGGTGCAGCGGAGTGACTTTGAGCGCCTACCGAAATTGCGCGAATTACTGTTTAGCAACACTACGCTGCGCAGCCTGCAATTCGACGCATTCGGCGCTCTGCGCGACCTGCGTCTGCTGGTGCCAGAAGGTGACTTCTCTTACCGAGCGCTTGTCGAGGGTGGATTTTCGAAGCGAGTCCTTGAATACGTATGGCGACTACACTGCGGGTGCGATTTCGCGTGGTTCCGGCAGTGGTGGACAAATAACACGCGGCTCTTGCACGGTGAGCAGACGGAAGCGGGTGAAGTGTGGGCCTTCTCAAATTATATCAGAAGCGACCCACTGATGCGAGCAGATGTGTTCCTGCCCATAGACTGCGCACAACCGATTCCCCTGACTGCCCAGAGCATCAACGTCACCGAGACAGTCTTTTCGCGACACGCAGAACCGTGTATTGGACACTGACACCACACGCTGCTGAATGTGCACTTTACGTCAACGAGTTCTGCTGATAGATGGTGTCTTTACTTATGGCTAGACGCACTAGTTGTATTTCTGCAGTAATTCGATGTCTTTCGAATAGGAATGTAGGAGTGACCTTGCTCCGAGAAATATGCTGGCTAAAATGTAAGTTGACGGCTTTTTAACGTGCACTCACGCATTTCCGACTAGAAGCGCGCCACGATCGCCACATACAGGCTACAGCCGCGTATTTCCATGCAAATCTGAACGCGCGCAATTCCGCTGAGATTTGCCGATTCGGCTACTTTCTAAAGCGGCATCGTGACAAAACGGCAGTGTCTCGCTGGAGAATTTCTCTGGATTCTTGCCGCGCATCCAGTCGACAATTTTGGAAGATCTACCTCCTTGGAAAACCGACCGACCGGCATTTTTACCGGCATATTTCTTAAAGCGCTGTTCTATGAATTTGGGCTCTAATTATCCAAGGACTGCCAGTTTGAGCATTAACTAACATAGATGTAAATCGTACCTGCCGGCTGCCAGGATCGGTTATTTTTTATCAGATGATTTGTATTCACAGGCGTGAAAACCGTTCGTGCGCGCAACATCCGGTTCGGGAGTTATGGCTACCTAGTAGAAAATTCCAAAAAGTTTAAGTGCATTCAGGTGTACCAAAAGTCTCAATATAGACCGATCTCTTTCATTTTTTTCACGTAAATGCTCACTGCAATGGAGATCGTTTTTACACCAATCCGTACTTCGATAATCTTTTTCAACTTTTATAACGAATTTTATCATTTTTGAAAATGATTTTGAAATCTGAAAATCATGCTAGAACAGTGGATGGGTGTAAAACCGTTCTTCGTGGTTATGTGCATTTACGTGCAAAATCTGAAGGAGATCGATCCATATCGAGACTTTTGGTACACCTGAACGCATTTAAACTTTTTGAAATTTTCCAATAGCCATAACCCCCGAACCGGATGTTGCGCGCACAAACGGTCTTCAGGCCCGTGTATACAACTGATCTGGCTACAGGATGTAATAAAACAAGAGAGAAAAGGGTTTGGGAGTGCGCGAAAGTGAAAGGTTTCACAAACGCGCGCAACCAGGCACTTTTCTGTATTCATACAGCCAAATTTGAGTCTGACCATCGGCCTCTTGATAATAACACTTGCACCTTGCGCATCCAACAAAAACCATCGACCGATATCTCAAACAAATGAGGATAAAATTTTAAGAATTTTGATACTAAACAAGTGCGAGTTTATTAGCAATATGCACATCAGCGAACACCACTCAGTAAATAAACTCCAATGAAAAATTTGTCCCAGTTAACACGGGATGGGACTGCACACCAAACACTCATAGCGTTACCACGTATTATTTCCAAACTTAAACGCTGAAACAAAAACAAGTACAGCGACTCTCGCCGGTCACTCATCAACGGTTTCTTGCCCGTCTTCTTTAACAAAACCACTGTGTCCTCAAAAAACGTTCCAGATGTCTCGCATGCAGTAGGGACAAAATAACAGCGATCAGTATGCGACTTATATCTCCCCATTAGGTCAGTGAATGCCCGTTCGGCAGAGGCGCCAACGCACTTCGGGGTCGCATCAATAAACGATTCCGCCATGGTGTCTGAGTGTCTCCGATGGTCACGTCACATACTAAAGGCTGTCCGCGGTACCATTTCCAGCGCGTGGTTCCATCCAGGCGCTTTCCATTTTCGCGCACAAAACCAACAGGCTCCGGATATGATTCATTCACGGTCTCAGCAGGGCGCCATCCGAGGGAAACCGAGAAACGGCCGAAAAATGCACCGATGGGGGAATCGAACCCCGGCTACGTCGTAAGATCCGCGTAGGCAGTGCCACTGCACCACGGCGCAAAGTGTTGAAAATCCTTGAAAGACTTTGTCGCTGTACATGAGCCGCTTGTCTCATCACAATGGCATTGCATAACGCTCACAGGAAAATGTCATTAATACCGTTACGTCGTTCTCTTCTTCCGACACACTTTTTACAAGCCAGCCCATGGTGTCCATGCTCCGCTACTTCTTTTCCCCATCTGACACACGAATGCCGCTCCACAATTTTTGCTACAAGCCACAGGCCGACACAAATGCGAAAGGTTGGGTCATTTAAACAAGTTGTTCTTTATGAGTTCTAAGAGAAAATCGACGCACCTAAAGTTTCCCGTAGGCATAGCATAGGACTGAATCCACGGTTTGGTTTCAGGTTTTACACAGAAATCGTATGCTTTGTCTACGACAAATTAAAATGTCTCGATTGTCTCTTAGATCTGACAAAAAATTTGTTTGTTTGGTATCAAAATTCTTGAATTTGTTTTCTCTTTCGTTTAAGATGTCGGTTGATGGTTTTAACTGGAAATGCGCAAGGTGCAAGTGTTAAAATTCTTGCGCGTTTTCTGCTTATTGGTCATTTGGTCTTGCCAGTTTCTTTTGATTGGTCATTCGGTCGCGGAATAAATGTAGCGGTACCCCAGTGGAGGGTTTCTTAATTCTTCGCACGTGCCATTTTTTCCTCATGTGAAAACGATCGATTTCTGGTCGAGGGCGTACCTGTTACTTTTTCTGTGCCCTATCATTTTTTTATTATGGCTGATAACGATGCGGTAAGGGCGGTCGTAATTACAGTTACAGAGGATTCATTGCCACTGGAATGACACCGATGGATTGCCAGCGCTCGAACGCAACAACACAAGTTCACGGCATGTTTAATGACAAGGCATACAGGATTCTAAGTACGGTTGTCAGCAAGGGCTAACTGTTCAAATAAAGTACACGATGGATTCTAGAAACTCCAGTGATAGACAACTATGGCCGGTAAAAATATGATCAGAATTCATCACACGTAACTGGGTGGTCTTATGGGTGGTACAAAATGCTGGCAGGGGGTAAAACGTGGCAGTGGCACCTGCCAGTGGCACTGCCAATGGCATGGCAAGCGATAAAACCTGGAGACTCTGGCAACTGGCAAACGATAAAGCCTGGCAGATGCCACATAAAATGTGGCACCACTTACGGGAAGCGGGTTCGGAATGGTTGACCAAACCCATAGTTTTGAAAACGTCGCCAGCACACAAACAGTCAAATTGATAGTGCTAACAGCACCGCCATGTACAAAGTGCGTAAGCAAGCGCCGGCATAAAAATTTAAAAAGGTCAAATAGCATTTTGCCGTCTTCGCAAAGTGCCGCAGCGAACGCGACAATGCATCAGAATGAGCAATACTTTCCAAGATGGAAGACCTGGGGGTAACCTTAACAATAATTAAGTAGAAATAACCTAAACAACCATTGTTAGATACAGTCTAGACCCTAGAGTGCAATTACAAGTGCAACAACATCATTTTCTACCGGCGACGCTGTGATTGTAGTAGCAAAAATCAACGACATGTTCTGAATTAAAACCAACTTAAACTGCCATGAAGAATTTTGTAATATTGTTTTAGTAGAAGTATTCATGTGGCAGACCTCTCAAACTATATGAAAGAAAAAGTCAATACGAATAAAGCGTCCAACTGCCGCTACTACCAACGTGGAACGCTACCCCATCAATATTGTAAAGGTGCTCGTGTTACAGTATATCATCCATACGTGTAACTCTCTTTAACTGCGTTCTCATCGTAGAATGTAAAGGTCATCCATAATTTTTACTGCGTACCAGTGTTACCACCTAACCCTTTGCTTACCAGTAAGAATGTTCGCAACATGAATGTCATAATTATACAGTATAACCTGTGGGTGATTGACTGATAGGTAACCACAGTATCCCGCTCGCGCTCGACACAACAATTAATACGAATAAGCGCTCTTAATTGTACAGTAATCAGCTTACCTTTCGTAATTAGTTAATGTTACGCAGCTCTGCGACTAAAATCATAAACACGACAGTTAATTAAAAATTCATAATAACGATGATGATTTGTTTGGTGTAGTGCATTTGCCGCTAATAATGTTCAAGCAAATATCACGCTGACCAAAAAATTATATGTACGAGTATTCGCAAGTATTTGTTCGTAATTCGCAAGTATTTGTTTAATATTTATTGATAAGGAAACCTTTTAATTAACTTGTTAATTAACAAAGTTTATACTTAAGCTGCGATACGAGTACGTATAGCCGCTATGGCGTATAGTACCATTGTAGTGTATTTTAACTTTTTGAAAACTTTAAAGTGAGCGTCAATAATAATTACGACAAAAAAGAGGTGCCAACGCAAATTAAGCTATGTACAGTATAACTTACGTATATTGGCGTAGTTGTCGAAACTGAGAATGCATATACAGACCAATACGAATTTATCTCCCCGACTAAAGCTCCACGTAATCCGTCCCACAAAGATCCTATCCAACTTGATGAAGTCCATAATTGAAAAACGCGGCGGAAACGGAAGGAACCGGAATTGTTCGGTACTCAGAGCCTCGCAGATATTAAAAAGTGCCAACGCATCCGATTTTAACGTAAGTACGCATACTGTCACACACCGCTGCAGAATATGTTTCCGCTTGAATTAGTAATCGGTTTGTGTCATGATTCATTTTCGCCGCTATGTACGAGTACAACGGGTGAAGTAATAAGCTACCCAAACAGGAAGATAAGAGTCTGGCAGTTTGTCGAGCTACCGTGTGAATGCAAATGTGTGAATGCATATATAAGGCGCCGGTTTTTTTGTAATAACAGCAAAGTTCACATTCTCATATAACAAACAGTTGCTTCGAATGGAACTAGAGAAAAATAATTATTAAACAAAAACGCCAGACCGATAGCCACCTTGCGGGACCTGTGCTGTAGTTTGTAGTCAAGTACGATTTTAAAGCGTGTTACAAATGCGCGATTCACTCAGTAACACTTAAACAGCCATTTTCTCTACAGAAATCATCCCGTAATGTTTTATACAAGCAGTAGGATCACTATAGTTTCCCTTCCGGTCAGAAACTGTTGTCGTCAGTAACACGACATGGACTAAAGCGCTTTTGGGTACGTTTATTTGGCAGTACAATACCTAACTATTTCTTTAAATAATTCAATAATATCACTATACGAAGTGCCAGTATCACTATTCACTAGCTTTATTCGATCGATACGGATAATTATTAGTTTTCGATTGGTAAACATGCATGCAGAATTGGTATCGTAATAAATGATTTGTTATTAACAGTTAGCACGCGGGTAATCTAATGTATTACTTCAGTTACTTCTGATTAGCGGTTTGACGTAATAAAACTTTATCCCCGTAATTTTCCAATGTAAGTACAGATAGCCGTACTACAGTATTTAGCGGAAACATTTCGCTACGATTTTTGCCGCTACGCTAAGTCTACTATGGCAGACTTATTTTCTCTATTTAGGGCAATCATACAGGACAAAAGCTATTATTTATAATTTATATCGAAAGTTTATAATTTATGTGGATCGGTCGGCATCATGCCAAATTTCGTAAGCGTAGATTGTAAATAGTGTGCCGCGGCGCGCCATCGTATGGGGCTCAATATAACGGTGTAACCGGTTAATTTGTATTTTCTCGCTGTGTTAGTTTCTGCGAAAGAAATTACTGGGCAGCTTGTACACGTAAATACAATTTTGGATAATTCCGTAAAATCAAAGTCACACTCCAGTCTTCAGTAGGACAAGGGCCACTTAATGTTGTAGAGCACAAAGCGAGTTTTCATCCTTGATTTACTCGACTGTATTAAGTGGTAATAATGATACAAATTTGATGGACTACCACGTGTTTATATGCCTGCTTTGTTGCGTACTTGTACAGTTGTATTGTACTGTAAAGTCTGTAATGCACTAGTATGTTGCAGTGCAGCGGTTGCGGCAATGTGCACTGCGGCCATCCAAAACAAAAATAAGTGGTAAAATTAAACTAACAAACCAGTACATTGCTGCTGTTCTGAGCTTCTCTGTTCCAAATCTCTTTCATAAAATCATGCCAATTGCGTTTCGGATTTGGTAAACTAATATTTTAATCATATAATACTTTATTTCTCAATATGTACAAGGTGAGCTTCGCTCAACAAATATGATCAAATGATGAATATTTTAATATTTTATAGCTTGAGTTAACTTGCTTATGTGAACGCTAGGCGTTGCCTTTTATAAATTATACTGACTTTAACTTACTAGTACAAGTAAACTACCAAATAAGTGTACTGAAAAAATTAAGAAAAACACTTTCAACATGAGTACGCCTTCCGGATGTGCGGCGGCTGTTTCTGCGAAGGCGCTGTACAGACTGTACGGTTGAAACTGCTAAACGATTAATTCAAAGTATCATTAATATCGCGTGTGGCAGATGTAGTCTGCCAATAAACAGTATGTAAATATTAATTTTTATTACAGTGTCAAGGTTGTAGCTACAAAATACAGATAAAAAAAGGAGAAAACGATTTTGTCTGTTCTGAACTTTTGCGTTTAGATCTGTCTATTCTCTAGCGCGAAAAATATGGTAGTAAACTGAACTAAAAGTTTGTCTCATCCTGCCAGTACAGTTGCCGGCAACTGGACTCGGCATGCCGAATCTTCTTCACACTCCCTTTGATCTGGACGGTACAGTAACAAAAGTTTCACAATTGTTTTCGCACTTAATCATAATCAATGCAGTTAGAATACATGTACAGATACATATTACAAGCCGAGCACGGATGAATATAGGTTCACGTTCACGTTTAGTGGTAAATTAAATTCGTGTGAACTTTCTCATGCACAGTGCACTATACAGTAATGCAACTTTGTCAGAATGAAAACATTGTATTAAATTCAGCGAGAGCACTGAGAACATTACAGTAATCATTTATGAAATTTGGACTGTTAACAGGACTCTCAGTGTTACGTTTGCGGTTTACTTGTACAGTTGTACTAGGTTTGTGCGCCTATATCTTTTTTTAGATACCGACGGGGACTCGGACTGATGTATTCAATATTGGCAGAAACAAGTCGTTAAAATTTTTAATGCAGCTTGTAACTTTAGGTTAGGGACGTATTCCCTGAACAATAACCGAAGCACAGTGGTAGTAACTACGTATACTGTTGTCACTGTGCTTTTGCAGCGCATTTTGCAGTACACCACTATGTCCGCGGTTACAAAGCAGAGCAGCAAAGAGAGCTTTTTGCTAGTGGAATCAGCTTACCGGCCATGAGAATCGACCAACCGAATAAAAAAAAAAATTAATAATTCGATTAAAAAAATTAATTTCCAGCGTGGAAAAAATAATTTCGATAATTCGGACAGAAAAATCGTGATTGGCTGGTTTCAGTTAGCTGCTGGACCAATCACTTCACGCGAATCACTTTTGAATCTACCACGGTATTTTTGCTTCTCCAAAAGGTCTGAGTTCTGCAGAACAACTTTTTAAAAGTTTGCCACGGAAATCAAGTTGGGAAAACTAGTATCTTCGTTTTCGTACTAAAGTCATCTCTATCAACCAAGTCTGCACGAGTTGGCTTATCGATTTGCAAGTTGCACTTGAGTGCAGTGTACTAAGTGAACTATCGTACTGGTACCAACACAGAGCGAGCGAAGCGACGGCTGTTCACAACTTTGATTTTAATTCCGTTAACGCAGCATTCAAACACTCCACAGACTTTGCGCCCAGAAAATTACATTTTCCCGAATGAAAAAGAACAGCAGTACATGCGGATAAGCGAATAGGCAAACCAGTAAATAATTCAGGAGTATAGGATAACTGCAGGCGATTACTGATACTTTCCAGATTTAACTTCTGACCAAAGTTAAATGAACCAATCATATTAACAATACGATAATTTGTAACCATACAACGGTAACCACACTGACGTAATAAACTAGTGAAATAATGCAAGAGAGCGCAGGACTCCCGCCGAGATGTGCCGCCATTGACCGTAATCCGTCCATTAGCATACAGCTGGCAGTGACCTTTCATGGGATGCAGTGTCCGCAGGAGTAAGCCGGAAAATCTATGCGGTAGGTACTGGGCCATCGACAGTGTCTTCTCCAACTGGGCGAGGTCCAGGATACAGTTTAGTTCCGCAGTCGCCACAACATTTTTCACAGCCACTATCTGTTGATGCGAGTACAATTACCAGTACGTACAACTACACAAGTTCCTGCATTTTTAATTACCAAAAGATTCACTAGTACGAAAATAAATGAAAACACTCACTGATCCAGCAGGTGTTTCCACATTCACATTCATCTTTAATCAGCTTCGGTTTGACATCCGGTAGAACCATCAAGCAGGTCGCACAGGTTCCCTTGGTCAGATACCCTTCCAACCATTTGGCATACTCGGTCGGTTGGTTGATCTTGTTCGGGGGATCAGGCGATAACTTCTTAAATGACGGACACTTCAAATCCTCGATATTAATAACAGTGGCAGGTTTCACAACGCTGGCCAGTACGTCACACTGTCCCACTCCTTTAGCATAAAACGTAACGTCGCCAACGTCACCTCCCCAGTGGTCAGGGTCATGCCTTTTATCGAGCCGAAAAAACATCATCGAGTACCAATGCTCGAGAGCACGTTGCAGACTTCGTTTGTTTTCTGCTAACTGCATGCCGACAATTACGCCCTTGTTAACGTTACGCAAACCATACTCTTTAACAATAGTTTCTCTACATGGAAAACTAATTTTCGACAAAGAACTGCACTGCTGTTCAGGAGAAATAAAATGAACGTATGTGACCACTTTAACACCATGATGATTAAGGTACTCAACATCAGCAAAGCAGTAAGTAGCCATTTTTGTTGCACGAAAAAAATTAAATCATCACACTAGTTACGAACAACTAAATTATGGAGAATTGTTTCCATCTATTATATAGAATTTTGTCTGTAGCTAACCTACACAACGGCAAATGTACACAGTGGTTAACGTACATACTGTAGTGGCTATCGTACACAATGGTGTAGCTAGCCGACGCAGTGGTTAACGTTCACAATGGTGCAGCTAACCGACGCAGTGGCTAACGTACACATTGCAGTGGCTAACGTACGCATTGACAGGCCAACGACTTGGTGTACGAAGCTACCGAACCATCAGTATAAAATCGGTCTGCAGCTGAAACCTTGAGCAAACAGTTCTTAAGTTTTCCTTACCGTTTCTCATCTGACTTTTGTCTAAATCGCTAACTACTTGTACTTTTAACAACAGTTATTTAATAATGGAATTTCTCGCTGATATCCCGTCGACCTCGACATCGGCCCGGAAGAACCCTAAGCGCAAGATCACCATGAAGATCTCCAAGGACCGGACGCAGCTGGAACCTATCAAACGCCAAAAGAAATCCGACATGGCCCGCAGCGCCTCCGCTCTTCCCGGCAAGCATGCCCGCTACGCTTTCACCGAACAGGGAATGCCGGTCTACAAGATCGGATTTGACAAGTTTGCCGTGGTTCGCTAGTTGGAGGGAGGGACGAAGGTGGTCTTAGCCGAATTTAAAGAGCAGCCGGACGGTACCTTTAAGCCTGTGGATGCCAACAAGTACATCGCCATGACCATTAACAACTTTTTGCGCCTCTGTGGATTAATGCTGACTGGTAAAGCCGACCTGGTCTCGTCGTGCCCGCCATTGTTCGATAACGGAAAGCTGTCACTACACTACTGCCTGGACGACAACTTGTACTTCCAGTGGAGCCGCTACAACAACATGGACCTGGCCACTGTACGCCGCTTTAACCTGACACCTAATAAAAATTTGTATCCAACCAAGGTCGGTATTTCTTTCGGTCGGAAGGCCTACGAAGGACTCAAGGAACTGGTGGTGGACTTCACGCTGCTGAAGGAGATCCAGGACACCAACGAGGCTCATGATGTCGCCGCGGATCCCAAGCCCGGACTCGCTTCCGTTTCGTTAAAACAGGTTAGTTGAATACGTAAAGTTTTAATAATTTTACTTGGCCGAATTTACAATGTCATTTTTGAATTGGTTGTTTTTACCAAAGTAAATTTCGCGTTACGTGTTTTTTACAACATGTAAATTTTGAGCTGTCAATTTTTGCACTTTGTTAATTTTTGAACCGTCAGATTTTTTACACTGGTCCGTTTTATTTGTTAGGAATTGGCTGAAATCATGTTCCGCAATATTCGTGAGCACCGTGAGAATGCGACTGGTCGTACGCCGATGCGCGGAATCGCTACGGATGAAGAATGGAACACTGCCGAGAAGGACGTTTTGGAAAAGAAGCAGATTCATGGTGTGTTGTTGTTGCTTAATCAGCTAGATGTTGGTCAGTGTATTGATCTGGATGTTGATGGCTACTTGGCACAGTTTCGTAAGGAAGTGCGTGCCCAGTTGGATAAAATGATGATGTAATGCGTAACGCTGCATGCCGTAATTACTGGCTATTTGTTTCATATTAATCCACGAACAATCTGTTTTTCTAGAAATCTGCTGTTGCATATTTCTGTATTAAGCTGGATGTGATGATTAACAGATCGGCAAACCATCTTGTCATTGCTCGCCTTATTATCAGTAAACATTTTAACAATTGAGCCAAATGGCTGACCACTGCATCGCTGTAAAATAAAAAACATACAGTACTGCCCACACACCGTAAAAAATTCAGACTGCAACACTTCGGCTTGGGTCACTAGTCTAACGCTACCAGAAAATCTTTGCTTGAGTGCCTCGCTGTAATATGCCGGTAATTTTCCATTCGAATCGAAAAATTCAATGACACTGGCTTGGTTCTGGTATATGGCCACCCAGTGTTCGCCCGGCTGCTTCGCTGGGTCCGTATTGACGATACATGACGCAGGATAGGGCTGTAGGTCCATTGGTACTTCATCGGCAGCAAACACACCACGGAATGTCGAGCTAGTGATAGGGTTAGCCCGCATGGCCGCCGATAATTGTTCCGAGTTCATGTTGAGAAGTCCGCAATCAACTGACGATGCTGGTTAAACTCAATAATACTATCAAACACCATTATGCACACCATCATCAATGATTTAGCATGTGACTTTGCAAAGGTCACCGACACACTTAAATTTCCCTGTTTGATTAAAGTCAACGGTCCACGCCCCGTATGACCAGGTGTCAAATCAAAACCAAAAATAGCGTATCCTTCGTTATAGCCATTACGATTGACCGACCAGCATCCGGTGGGATGGTTTTTTGCGCCCAGTGCATCCAGCAACCCATCGTAACATTCCAATGACTGAATTTTCGCAAAATCAGCATTGTATGGTTTGGTCGGATAACTTTGTCCATCCACTTCCACACTTATCTGCCGTACGTCGAAATGGTGAAAATTAAATGGATTTTTCTGGTAATTGCCGTGAAAATCTTCGCTGTCCAGGAAACCAATGAATACCACCTTAGGAATTTGACCAATCTGCAGATTGGTCACTACAGTACTTTGGGTGTTCTTCGGAATGTCGGCCACCCGCATGACAGTCCGTTCAATGTGGTATTTAACCGTGCGATTCAGTAACTGGCCGGCTACAGCGGTCATAAAGTCCGGAGCCGGAATATAACGGCGTACTGATAACCGAGCATTTCGAATGAATGGTTTGTATGTTTTAGTATCTTTATCGGCATCCCAAACACGTAGGCAAAATTCTGGCCGGTTCATAACTAATCGTATTTGGACAGGAATGCCCGTACAGAGCGGTTTGCTTTGGTCAAATAAATCGGCAAATATTTTTCCGGATAATTGTACATATTCTCCCTTCCCAAAAAGGTCATGCCGCCATACTTCACCAGTGTTATCGGTCTGATTGTTCATTTTTCCCGGCAAATCCAGCGCATAGCCCGCTGAGCTTAATTGCGAAAATTGCGCTTCCGGAGAATGAAATAACAATGATTCAAAATAAGCGCGATACCGATAAAATGTTGCCGCATCCGAGATCAGGCGATTAGCCACCGTTACATGAACCGATTGGAATAATGAATGCAGAAAATTGTTCACCGGGGCCACCCCTTCAGCGGCAGTGATTATTTCAAAATTATTCTGGTTATTTTTCTTGACCTTTATTGCCACTTCCAACTCCAGTACCATGTCACCTAAACTCAACAGTCCAGCCGTACTTGGAGGAATGTAGAAGTTAATATCGCCAGCAGTCCCATCCTCGGTAAATATCGTTGTAGGATTAAGTTTCTCGTGTTCAGTGCGCCATCGGTCGGTCAATGTTGCAGGCAAAGCAAAGAGCTGATTTTCCAACTGCATTGCTGGCTCCGAATTGGGCATCATCATCATTGCCATGATTACAGAAAATCAGGAATATTTGTCGGGGGAATTCTACGGGCACGCTTTGAAGTTTTACGGGCTTTACGAGTACGCTTTCTCCGCACACCTTCGCCTTGCTGCATCCGTCTACTAATAGCTTCGCTGGCTTGTGCAGCAACGTCTTCAATAGCTCCGGTGGCTGCTTCTTGCAAGTGCGGTGTTGCTGCTTCGAGTGCTGCCTTAGCATGCGGTGCCGCTCTTCGTATAATGGGTTTAGCAAATGAAGAAATCTTAGCAATAATATTCTTTAATACTTGCGCAAAACCAGAACCATTCTGCAATGTACCACGATAGCGCAGAAGAGGGCTGCCGCCAGTCTGCGCCACGAAAACATCTTCATACCGCCGCGGATCAGGAACATACGGTACTAAAGGCATTTTAAAACAGCTTCTGCGGTCGGAAATGCAATTTCACCAACGATTTGCCGTTCTCAAACTTGGCGTTTTCTCCCAGGTCATCAGCCAATGTCAAGTGCACTGTCTCAAAATGCTGAGCAATAACAGGGACGTAATGGGCCTTGTCGAACCTTGCTTCCACGAGACGATCCGTTCCGCCTCTAATAGGTACATTACGCAAAAACTGCGCTGCAGTATCGCCAATTAAACTGTAGTCAGCCACATCACAATAAACAAATAAATTCTGATTTTGCAAATGGGCATTAGCCGCTTGATCAGCAATAAATTCCCGTGTTTCGGAATAATTTTCATCCTTGCATTTTTCTATAAACGATTCGACAACGCCATCAACAGCCAAAAAATCTGCCTTTTGCGGGGTGAGATCCCAAAAGTCTGTTGTTAGGTGTGATTTTCGAAATCCCAGTATTTTCTGCAATGCCATGGATTCCGGGGGAAAATACACGGTTGTTCGCGGTGTTCCAACAGTAATTTTGACCCGTTGATTATTATGGCTATCGAGTTGCATTTGCACATACTTATTTTCTGGCAAAATGCTCAAGTTCTTGAGAAGGCTTCCGTTGACGCGGAAATAAGGGCTCTTCATGCTCATCACTGGTGCGTTCTTATTGATCACCTCCAGTATTGCCGCCACATTTTATAATTACCAGCGGGCACTACTATGTCCTCAGTATACGAACTCCGCCCTAGTATTTCTACTAACCGATCCGTATTGGCCTCTTTCTCTTTATCCCAGACTCTAGTATACACCAGGCCATATACAGTATCCAGAATAATATGCTGGTCATGACTCAGAGTATATAAAGAATTATTGCACTGGAATTCCACCAAAGCCATTTCCCAGCGCCCTTTGAGTGATATGGGATGCTTAAGGCGTGTTGTCCAGTCCGATGCAGTATTTTCGGTGAAACTGTTGACATCGCTGGGTAGCGTTAAGTAGAATGGCGATCCTTCAAACATTTTTCACTGACCCACGAGTCGTGTTCCGGCCCGTATCAAAACCACCGTACTAGTGCTTTACCTTTTGGCCGTTTGATTACAAAATCAATAGTATGCTCTTTATTCTCCACATTCCGCACGCGTGATAATTCTTTCTCGTAAAATTGGCCTTTAATAATTACGCCGTGCTCATCTTTTAGCCGATATACAGGAATCTTGTGCCGTACGACTTTGGCAATGGTGAATATTTCTTCTTTGAAATTGTAATTATATCCTTTGTCTAATTTTCCCTTGTTAACAGCTAGACGAACCGTATCGCCCACTTTAAACTTGGGTTCTTCAGCGATGGTGTCTTTGTACAGCTTGTTAAATACTTCCAATGAATTTTCTTCGGTGACATCAACAGGCCGCATGCCGTGAGCGCGGTGGACAGAACGGTTGTACGAATGCACCAGGTCATTGAGCTTATCGGTACAGCGTGTGGACACTCGGTGTCTAAATAGCCGGACCATGCGTGATTTTATAGTGCGTATTACTCTCTCCACCATGGCACATTTTATATCTTCATTCTCGGATGTAAAAAATTCCACTCTTTTGGATTCCAGAAATGACTGAACAATATCATTCACAAATTCGCGCCCTTTATCAGTCTGTACACGCATCGGTTCACCCAAGTCATCAAACACTTTTTGCAAAGCATTTCTTGTTTCCGTAGCATTTTTGCTTTTCATTTGAACCACACATAATTTTTTAGAAAAGCAGTCTATGGCAAACAACAGATATTTTATACCATCATTCTCTTTGTAATATTTAGAAAAATCAGCCAAGTCAATTTGATACTGCATTTGAAGGTCCGTGACCACAATTTGATTGCGTTTAAAACGTTTCGAACGGTCCTTTGTTACCGTGTACTCATCCAGTTCCTCCAACAGCTCATTGGCCTTCCCACGGTTCAGTTTGTGTTGCTTTGTCGCTTGATAAAACCTTTTTACGCCGCCAAAGCTTCCGGGATTTTTTGCGTCCAGATATTTCTTCAGGAGTTGATTCATTGCAACACGTTGAGACACAATTTATCCGGAAAACTCGGCAAAGGCGTAGAACTGACGGCAGAAAAGAGGACATGCTACGGTAAGGTTATCCACTTGGCTCGTGGATTGCCTGCGCCTTTTTGCCCTCCTTTTGTTTTGCGGGCACGCAGTCGACCGGATGGTGGTGTATGAAAAATCTCCTGGTGGTCAACTTCTGCTGGTGTAGTTGGCGGACTCAACTGACGCCTGGGTACTTTGCGTTTGGGCTCTTTAGCCGGCTCGGGTGGTTTTGGCGCGACATACTTGGGAACTTGGATGGGGTTTTCTTCGGGAATCGCACGTGGCTTCAGTGCAAGAAAGCGCTCTAACGTTGAAGATAGCTGGTTGGCCTTCTCGTACTCGCTTATATCATTACGGTTAACGATCTTGGCAACTAAATTGTCGAGGGATATTACTTCTACCGCCTCCGGGGGTTGCTTATTCAACTGAATTTGACTGGCCAGGCGGTCGTCCATTATTCGCTTAGGTACAATTAAAAATTCATCCATTGCCGATTAAACTGCCTAGCACACCGGCAATGACGGGCAAAAGTGCTCCAATAAATCCGCCTTGCTGTAGGATCTTTCGCTTTTTCTTGGTCGGGTATCGGCGTAGTGCCAAGAGCCTCAGGGACTTTCGGTGTCCAGATGGTTTCGGTGTTAC